ACTGGTTATGTGATCATCACTACCATCCATCTCCAAAATGTTTTTCATTTTCCCAGACTGAAACTTTGTACTCATTGGATAATAATTTCCAGTACCCTCCTTCTTAGCCCTTGGTAACCATTCTTCTTTCTGTCTCTGTGAAATTGAGTACTCCAGATACCTCAGGTAAGTGGAATGATACAGTGTTTGTCCTCTTGTGACCAGTTTAATTCAGCATAATGTCTTCAAGGTTCATTCACATTGTGGCACATGTCCTTCCTTTTTAAAGATGACTAATAGTCCATTGTACGTATGTGTGTACCACATTTTGTTAATCTGTTCGTCTCTCAGTGGACGTTTGGGTTTCTTCCACCTTTTGACCATTGTGAATAATGCTACCATGAACATATGTGTACAAGTACCTTTTTTGAATCCATGCTTTTAATTCTTTTGGATATATTGGTCATTACCAATACCAACAAAAATGTTTAATTTTTTGAGGAACCACCATACTGTTTTCCACAGTAGCTGCACTATTTTATATTCCCACTAGAAGTACACAAGGGTTCCCATTTCTCCACATCCTCACCAACAATTATTTTCTAGGTTTTTGGTTTTTTTTTTTAAAGAGCCATTCTAATGAGTGAAATGGTATTTCATTGTGGCTTTGGTTTTTATTTCCCTGATGATTAGTGATACCAGGCATCTTCTCATTTGTTTATTGGCCATTTGTATATATTTTTTTGAAACAGTGTCTATTCAAGTCATTTGTTGTTGTTTAGCGGCTAAGTCATGTCCAACTCATCGTGTCCATGGACTATAGTCTACCAGGCTCTTCTGATTCATGGGATTTCCCAGGCAGAAGTACTGGAGTGGATTGCCATTTCCTTCTCCAGGGGGTCTTGCTGACTCAAGGACCGGACCCAAGTCTCTTGCATTGGCAGGTGGATTCTTTACCACTGAGCCACCAGGGAAGCCCATTCAAGTCCTTGCCCATTCCTAATCAGGTAGCTTATTTTTTGTTGTTGAGTTATAGGAGTTTTTTTAAAAAATAATTGTTAAGGATATTAATCCCTTGTCAGATATATGATTTGCAAATCGTTTTTCTGATTCTGTGGGTTGTCCTTTCACTCTCTTAATAGTGTTCTTTACATAGAAGTTTGTAAGTTTGAAATAGCCCCATTTGTCTCTTTTTGCTTTTGTTGCCTGTGCTTTTGGTGTTACCTGAGAAATTATTGCCAGATACATTGTCATGAAGCTTTTCCTCTTGTGTTCTCTTGTGTTTTTTCTTAAGATTTATGTAGTTTTAGCTGTCATGTTTAAGCCTTTGATCTGTTTTGAGTTGATTTTTATATGTGGTATGAGGTGAGGAGTCAACTTCATTATTTTGCATGTGAGGACCTAGTTTTACCGATGTTGTTTGTTGAAAAGGCTGTTCTTTCTCTGTTGAATTATCTTGGCACCCTTGTCAGAAATTCTTGGGCTGTATATATGAGGGTTTATTTCTAGGCTCTTTTATTCTATTTCATTGGTCAGTCTGTCTTTATGCCAGTACCATACTGTTTTTGGTTATTGAGGAAGAAGTTTCAAATTGTTTATTTTTATATAGAAAAATACTAGTGATTTTATTTTTTTAATTTTTATTTTAAATTAGAACATAGTTGATTAACAATATCCTGTTAGTTTCAGGTGTACAGAAAGTGATTCAGTCATACACGTATTTATTGTTCAGATTTTTTTCCCATTTAGGTTGTTACATTGACTCAGATGGTAAAGATCTGCCTGCAGTGCATAAAGACCCACATTTGATCCCTGGGTGTGGAAGAGCCTCTGGAGAAGGGAATGGCAACCCACTCCAGTATTCTTGCTTGGAGAATGCCATGGACAGAGGAGCCTGGTGGGCTACAGTCTATGGGGTTTCAAAGACTTGGACACGACTGAGTGACTAAGCACACACATGCATTCTTCTTCAGATTTTTTTCCCATTTAGATTGTTATATAATATTGAGTATAGTTCCCTGCACTATACAGTAAGTTCTTGTTGGTTATCTTTTAAATATAGTAGTGTGTACATGTCAATCCCCAAATTCCAATCTGTCCCCCCCTTACCCCATAACCGTAAATTCATTCTCTTAAGTCTGTGAGTTTGCTTCTGTCTTTAAAAAGTTCATTGTACCATTTTTTTTTTTTTTAGATTCCACATATAAGTGGTATCATATAGTATTTATCTTTCCTTGTCTGACTTAGTATAGTAATCTCCAGGTCCATCCATGTTGCTGCAAATGGTGTTATTTCATTGTTTTAATGGCTGAGTAATAGCCATTTTATATAGGTGCCACATCTTTATCCATTTGTTTGTTATGGACATTAGGTTGTTTCCGTATCTTAGCTGTTGTAAATAGTGCTGCAGTGAATATTACTTGCTGTTTATTTTATATTTATTTTAGGCTCTAGAAATGATGTTAGACAAAAAACAAATTTGAGCGATTTTTCTATTCCAGTTCAAAATGGGTCATAAAGCAGCAGAGACAGCTCACAACATCAACAACACATTTGGCCTAGGAACTGCTAACAAAGGAAATGGCAACCCACTCCAGTACTCTTGCCTGGAAAATTCCATGGATGGGGGAGCCTGGTAGGCTGCAGTCCATGGGGTCGCAAAGAGTCAGACATGACTGAGTGACTTCACTTTTCTTTCTATAGTTCCTTTTGGAGAAGGAAATGGCAACCCACTCCAGTGTTCTTGCCTGGAGAATCCCATGGACGGAGGGGCCTGGTGGGCTGCCGTCTGTGGGGTTGCAAAGAGTCGGGACATGGCTAAGAAACTAACACACACACACATACAGTGCAGTGGTGGTTCAAGAACTTTTGTAAAGGAGACGAGAGCTTTGAAGGTGAGGAGCATAGTGGCTGGCCATTGGAAGTTGACAGTGACCAGTTGAGAGCCATCATCAAAGTTGATCCTCTTACAGCTACACAAGCAATTGTCAAAGAACTCCACATCAATCATATGTGTGGTCGTTTGGCATTTGAAGCAAATTGGAACGGTGAGAAAGCTCAATGAGTGTGTGCTTCATGAGCTGACCACAAATCAAAAAAAATCATCATTTTAAAGTATTGTTGTCTTTCATTCTAAGCAACAACAATGAACCATTTCTCGATCGGATTATGAGGTGCAGCAAAAGGTGGTTTTTATACAACAACCAGTGATGACCAGCTCAGTGGTTGGACTGAGGAGAAGCTCCAAAGTCCTTCCCAAAGCCAAACTTGCCCCTGAAAAAGGTCATGGTTACTGTTTGGTGGTCTGCTGCCCATCTAATCCACGACAGCTCTTTGGATCCTGGCAAAACCATTACATCTGAGAAGTGTACTCAGCAAATTGATGCGATTCACGGAACACTGCAGTGCCTGCAGCTGGCATTGGTCAACAGAATGGGCCCAGGTCTTCTCCAGGACAGCGCCTGACCACACATCACACAACCAGCACTTCAAAAGTTGAACAAATTGGGTTATGAAGTTTTGCCTCATCCTTCATATTTACCTGACCTCTTGCCAACTGACTACTGCTTCTTCAAGCATCGCAACAACTTTTTGCTGGGAAAACGCTCCCACAGCCAGCAGGAGGCAGAAAATGCCAGTTGTGAAGCATGGTTTTTTATGCTGCAGGAATAAACTTATCTCTTGTTGGCAAAAATGTGTTGATTGTAATGTTGTAATGGTTAATATTTTGATTAAAGATGTGTTTGAGTCTAGTTATAGTGATTTAAAATTCATAGTATGAAACCGCAGTTAGCATTTTCATCAACTTAATATTTCCATTACTCTAGGAGAGGGCTCAAAAATATATTGTTGTGATTTATGTCAAAGACTTTTATAGTATCCAGCCTTATATTTATGTCTTTAACCCATTTTGAATTTATTTTTGTGTATGATATTAAAGAATGTTTGTTTCATTTTTTTACATGTAGCTGTCCAGTTTTTCCAGCACCATTGAAGAAACTGTCTTTTCTCTACTGTATAATCTTGCTTCTTGTGTTGTAGATTAATTGACTATAGGTTCATGGGTTTATTTCTGGAGTTTTTATTTTGTCCATTGATCCATATTTCTGTTTTTGTGCCAGTACCATGTTGTTTTGATGACTGTAGCTTTGTAATATGGCCTGAAATCAGGGAGTCTAATTTCTTCCAGCTCCGTTTTTCTTTCTCAGTGTTGCTTTGGCTGTTTGGGGTATTCAGTGTCTCCATATAAATTTTAAGGTTTTGTTTTGTTTTGTTTTGATTCTGTGAATAACACCATTGGTGATTAGATAGGGATTGCATTGAATCTGTGGATTGTTTGGGTCCTATGGTCATTTTGACAGTATTGATTCTTTGAATCCAAGAACATGGTATATCTTTTCATTTGTTTGTGTCATCTTTGATTTCTTTCATCATTGTCTTACAGCTTTTGGAGTACAGGTTTTTTGTTTCCTTAGATTCATTCCTTGATGTTTCATTCTTTTTGATAAATGACATTGTTTCTGTAATTTCTGACCCTTATGTTGTTAATGTATTAATTAGTAGCCAGATATCCTGCTGAATTCTCCTGTGGTTTTTCATTTGATTTTACAAAGATATAATTATGTTTAATTGATAAAATATGGCTTTTTTTCTAATTTTATCTCATTTTTGTCTTAATTCCATTGACTTTAAAACAGTGTTAAGTAATTATACTGGCTACATAATGTATTTCTTTTTGTTTTTGTGTAGATGAAGGAAGTCTTCTTAATATTTAGCCATAGAGTCTGATGCATTTTTTGTTTTGAGATATACTTCTAAACTTTTGAGATTGACATCAAAATGCTTGATTTCAGTTTGGAGCTTAATTGAAATTTGGAACTTAATTTCATTTTGTTTCTATTGCTATTAACAGGAACAAAATGATGGTCTGAGGTGTTACAGAAGGACTGAAAAGTTTTGAGGTTCATATGTGTCATCTACTTTTGGAGGATCATAACACTGATATTTTCATTTTTTTTCAGAATGGCCAGAGTTTTCTGGTTTTGGATGAACAAAGATTTGCAAAAGAAATTCTTCCCAAATACTTCAAGCACAATAACATGGCAAGCTTTGTGAGGCAACTGAATATGTGTAAGTAAGAACAACAGTTTAATTGGAGTACTGTCATCAGTCACTGATAAACCATTTTCCTCCCATTAGGATGATAAAGGAAAATATATTCATAGAAGCACCATTAATTTTTAACTTTTTTACTTTTGTCTGTTTAACTTACCTGAATTTTCAATGTATTTCAGATGGTTTTCGTAAAGTAGTACATATTGATTCTGGAATTGTGAAGCAGGAACGAGATGGTCCTGTTGAATTTCAACATCCTTACTTCAAACAAGGCCAGGATGACTTACTGGAGAACATTAAAAGGAAGGTGAGTTATTATTAACATGATTTAATTAGGGCATTAACATGTAGTATACTTGGTCAAGACATATTTCATTTGTTGAAAGTAAAAATGTACTGAAATACACAGATTTTGTTGGGGGCAATTTAGACTAATAATGCTTTAATTATGCCTTCTGTGTATTTTCTTATTTTTCCTTTGTGTTCAGCTGTATAGGGCTCAGTCTTTAAATACTTTTTTAGAGGGAAGGAAATGTTTACATTCTGACTTAGGATAAGGAGTCAACTGTATTGTGATGGCTCACTCCTTATAATTTAGCTTAAAAAACATAAGCTCCTACTAGAAAGTCAGCTGCTTAGAAGGCCTTTTTCTGTAATTCACTGCTGAATATCCTATGCCCAAGTCCCTTATATATAGTAGATATTTAATAACAACATTTTTGAATGTATGATATCTTTTGCTGAAATGAGGTATTTTGACTAAATCCACAAAGGGAGGTGGGGAAAAAGGGTAGCGAACCATGAAAGAACATGGCCTTAGTGTGCAGCTATTCTGCATAAATTTAATTAAAAGTGGAATGTGATAATAAAGAGGCTTGGGGGAATTACAGGAAATTTGGCAGAAGGAAATTAAAAAAAAAAAAAAAGCCCTTAAGTTGCTTCTGTTCATGGAAACTTTTCCACATTGAAAATAAATAGATAGATTATTCCTCATCCTCTCTTTGAGCCATGAATGCTGTTCTTTTCCTGGGCTTTTGGAACTGGATCTTACCTTCTTGACAGGCTACAAAACCTTTTATAACAAGAAGACTTTGAGTTATAGCCACAGTGTTTAGTATTTGTTTAATTTCCTACATTTACTTTTTGAAAGGTTTCATCTTCAAAACCAGAAGAAAATAAAATTCGTCAGGAAGATTTAACAAAAATTATAAGTAGTGCTCAAAAGGTTCAAATAAAGCAAGAAACAATTGAGTCCAGGCTTTCTGAATTAAAAAGGTAAAGTATTTCCAAATATAATCATCATAACAGGGGTTGGTGTTTGAGTGTGTGTGTGTTTTGAGATTTGGAGGTTGGTGCTTTAGGTAACTAGATTATGTTGTTGAAGCCAAGATCAAAAACCATTTTTTTTAAAGTATTATTTCCCTCTATTTTTATTGGTAGCCATAGACTTTACCCCAATATTATGTTTTCATGATGGTGGTGAAAAGAATATATATAAACTTGGGCAGTCAAAACAATTTGATGCACAGTCTTACTGATGAAATAATAGATCATTAAAGTTGGTGTAGGAAATTATGATTCTGTTTAAGTTGACTTTCATTTGTTCACACACATGTGAGGACCACAAGCCGTAAAAACTACATATGTTGCCCGTCCTTTCTTTTATAGAAATTTCTTAAGACATTTTCTATGTGGCCTATCTTTTAGGAAAAAGTAGGACACAAAAAATAGGGGGAAAAGGTCACAAGAGACTTGCCCTACTTGATACTTTACATAGACTTGAGGAGGCCATAGTCATACTTTTTCTCTACAGAAAAATGTTTGTTTTTTTTTTAAACTGGAATTTTTGGCACCATTATTCTAACGCCACATTAACAACTTGTATATGAAGTAGACCTATATTTCTGTTCTTAGTAAGTAGCTAGAACCCTTCTCAATGTAAATAGGCACGAAGGTCTTAAAGAGCAGTTATTTTATGTATTGTCTTTCCCATTTGTAACATAGGTCATTACTTTAGCTATTCTTAACTCAAGTATTTTCATTGAGAGTAAACTTGAACTTTGAGTCCCTTTGTGAATAGCATTAATTTTAAGCTTACTCATTCTGCGTGTTTTATTTAAACTCTCATGTTGGTTTACTGTGTGTATCTTGTGTCTACTGAAGTGTCCTTTGACCCAGTTCCTTGAATCTCAGGTTTAGCTTTTAAGGCGTGGGATTCCAAATTTATCCTGTAAATCTTCATGGTAACCATTCTCCTACTTACCTCTAGTAGGCAGATGACAGTATATTTATATTTCTGAGTCAGAGAAAGTACAGTTATTATTCAGTAAGTATTAAAATCTTATTTTCTATACTTCTATATTTAAATTCAGTATCTTTTATAATAGTTCAGATTAAGGAAGATCACTTTTGTGGAAGTTAACAAAAGAGCAAAAATTAAAGCATTTAATAGATATATTATTTCGTGTCTTACTCAAAATTATCATTGCTACTAACATTTAATAATTGCAGTTTTCATAGATGATGATGAGTGAGGGAAAAAATAAAGCTGTTGCTACTGGACATGTAATTGGTTTGTCATGTATTTGTGTGTGTGTGTGCTTGCTTGTATCTGACACTTTGCAACCCCATGGGATGTAGCCCACCAGGCTCCTCTGTCCATGGGGTTTTCCAAGCAAGAATACTGGAGTGGGTTGCCATTTCCTTCTCCAGGGGATCTTCCCGATCCAGGGATTGAACCTCTTGTCTCTTGTGTCTCCTGGATCGCAGGCAGATGCTTTACCACAGGGCCACCTGAAAAGCCCCTGTCATGTATTTGGGTACGCCTTAAAACAAGAAACATTTTTTAATACTTTCAAAAACCCAAACATTTATATGATTGTATTTGAGACAGATCTTCAGACTGTTTTCTAGTCTCCATAGTCTGTGTGACCTTGAGTCAGTATTCTCAGTTAGCTGAGTCTCAGTCTCCTCTCTAAAAGAGAGATAATTCTTTTCTTGACAGATTTTAGAAAAGTTTAAGTAATACACATAAAATGTTTAGAATGGTGCCTGGCATAACAAGTGTTGAGTAAATGTCACTTCCTTTTAAGAATTGTTTCCTAAGCACAAGTCCTGAATTCACATGGTAACCATATTGAAAAGTTAATTTTTTAAATAAGAAATAATGAACCAGATTGTCAGAGGAGTAAATGGCCTACTAGTGTATGCATGTAGCTGTGTGTCTTAGTTTTTGAATATATGTATTGCCATGAGTACAGGGTACTACTGTTATGAAGTAAAGATTCTGCAGTTGTGTCAAGGTTAGTTGCCATTCTGTGTAACTGAACCAAAATTTTCCTACTCTCTTGAAGATATATAGTAAAAACTGGTTCTTTTCTCTGGTGTTCTTAATTAAAGATACTGAGATCTGGCTTTTCTGACTGAATTTTTAAAATTTTTATTTTTGATAAATGATAACAGTGAGAATGAGTCCCTTTGGAAGGAGGTGTCTGAATTACGAGCAAAACATGCACAACAGCAACAAGTTATTCGAAAGGTGAGTTTTTTCTCTATGACTATAATCTGCATTTAATGAGTACCATTTGTGACCCTCAAAAAACCTCTGTTGAATAGTCAGTGATTGATCTTAGTTTCTTATGTATATTGGGTACACAGAAGTAAAACTATGAAATCAAGCCAAGTGTTACATATTCTTTTTAATAAAAAAATTTCTCATTAGCTAAATATAATCCTACTATACTTCCAGCTAATGTTTCTTTAGCTTTTAGTAAGATCTTTTGCCTGATAAAACAGCTTTTAAATACTTCATTCTTAGGAGCATAATTAATACACTACTAATTTTTTAGCATATGTTAAAGACATTTATACTGAGTCAAATTTTTTTATTTTGTTTTACTGTTTTTTTACTCTAAAAGGCAAAGATATGACCATGAAAGATAAATGACTAATATTTTCAAAGCAGCTGAACAAAAAAATTAGTTATCAAAGTATGTCATTATTAGCCTGTGCAGAAAAGCACTTAAGGTAGTGGTGTACTATAAATCCTAAATTTTAGTATCTGAGCTGAAAATTACTGGAGGAACTGAAAATCTCCTTGCTGCATTGTGTCCTTGTGATTTAATCTTCTCATATCAGCTTTCATGCGTTAATAAGAGGTGAAACATAAAAGTAATTAAGGCAGCTATTTTTTGCTCATGAGTAAACTGTACTCTCAAGTTTAAGCAACAGGTTTTATGGGGGGAGGGAGGGTGGGAAAGCTTCAGTTTGTTCCTACTCAGAGGCCATTAGCTAAAAATAGGAGTATGACTGAAAGGATCTGGATGTAGTGGAGAGGTTTAGAATACAGAGATGAATGGTAGCTGCACCCTTTGGCCTATAGTCAAAATAGATACACTGATTTTTAAAAACAAGTTTACAAGGGAAGGTTGAATGTAAGATTCAGTTTTTATTGTTTAGTCCAAGTACTTATATTTTAAAATTTTCATAGTTGATTCCAACTTGAAGCCCTATTTAGGAATACCTAGTTTTAAATGATACCTGTGCTTTATTTAAAAAAAATCTGTATCTTTTTCAGATACACAATACAAAACAATGTTTTGGTTAAATGTTAACTCTTAATACATCATAATTGTTGTTTTTTCCTTGAAAGCAAGGATAGTTGGTAAAATACTTAGTATTTCAGTTTTTCATGAAAGTGAACATTCTACCTCCTCAAATTTGAGTTTGAACCTATGTATTTTAGTGGGGTTAGGAAGTTTCCATAATGCATGATAGATTGCTGATAATTTTTTCCCTATTCCTGGAGTTTGTTTCTAACTCTGCCATTTACTCTTTGGCCTTGGATTAAGTGGAATAATACATTGGCGGTATCTGTTGGACAACTTGTCAGGTACAGAAGTCCAGTGATACAAATGTTAAATGCCTCATCTTCTGTACAACATAGTGCCAAAGTGTCAGAAGAGAGCTGAAGTTTACAACAAATTTCATAAGAAATTTAGCCAGCATTTCATGTTCTTATAAATTCCGCTAACTAATGTTTTTAGAATTTTCCCTAACAGTTTTTTATAAATTAATGATAATAATTAAACTGTTTCATACGTATTGTTAAGGTTAATTGTTGTCTTTTCATCAGCTGTCAGCATTTCCTTTTAAACAAGTATAAATTTTAGTGGCTAACCTCCTTTGCATAGACTCTCTTGTCGTTTAGTCACTAAGTCGTGTCCCATTCTTGGTGACCCCCATGCCAGGGGGACATCATGCCAGGTCCCCCTCTGCCTCACTGTCTCCCAGAATTTGCCCAGGTTTGTGTCCATTGAATCGGTGATGCCATCCAACCATCTCATCCTGTCGCCCCCTTCTCCTCCTGCCTTCAATCTTTTCCAGCTTCAGAGCCTTTCCACTGAGTCTGCTTTTCACATCAGGTGGCCAGAGTATTGGAGCTTTTGCTTCAGCATCAGTCCTTCCAATAAATATTCATTTTGACCTATCTGTAGACCCCACAATTCGAAAGCATCATAGACTAATGCTGTCTAACTCTTCAGTTAAAACATTTGTATTTTTCTCTGTGGGATTGTAAGGCAAGCCATTTAGTAGCCTCATTTGGGGGAGAGTGTTCAATATTAAAGCTATACATTATGTATTTTCAGTTGTCAGTTCTCTGTAATCATGTAATTATATTTTATAAGCTTGTACAAGGAACTCTTCTGCAAAGATTCTAGATAGTTGTCAGTCACCTGGCCTTTATTCATAGCATCTCAGTGATATACTGATTTTCATAGTTGACTTCTTTAACTCCTTTAGGCAGTGCAGTTTCAAGGCATACCCTGAACCAATGATTGGCACATTCACATCAGTATCACCTGGAGCTCTTGCTAGTGAACAGCACACATCACTGGACCCTTTCCTCAGAATTTTAGAGCATTTCTGGAGTGGGTAGAGAATTTGAATGTCTAAAAGGCACCTAGGCCAATGCTGCTGGTCCATGGACCATATTTTAAGAAAAACTGTCATAAGATACAAAGAATTGATTGCATGTCTGGATCTGTTTAATAGTTTTTTCTAAATTTAATGAGACTGAAAATCAGCTTCCTGATTATCATCTGGAAGCTTTGACAGATGTTCAGCGTCTCAGTAATTTTCTAGAATTAGCCAATAACTTTTATAACTTGAAAACATTATGATCTGAGAGAGTTGGCAGTCTCTCTTGTTTCTATTTGTGTTACCCGGTATAAGAAATAATTGAACTGAATATCGGATAGATTAATAGGTGGATGGCATGGGAGGAAGCTAGATATAGATGTATGGGAAGATGGATGTCCTAGGTACCTCTATATCTTAAGTAGCAGCAACTTTATCACAGGTTATTCTGCCTGGAAGTTGGTATGTTTTTTTAAGTATCATTATAAGATGCATCCAAATTTAAAGTGTTATTAAATGTGAAAGCTTATGTGACTAAGAATAGAGGACATATAGTACCTGAATTAATTTTATAAGACTTCTAGATGGAAGAATTAGGAATCTATGATGGGATATTTCCTGTGTTTTCCTTTTAGATTGTCCAGTTTATTGTTACATTGGTTCAGAATAACCAACTTGTGAGTTTAAAACGTAAAAGGTAAGTTTTTATGATAATTCATTTTGACCTACCTATAGACAACCAAACATGTTAGAGTTTAATCATGAGAGGCCTTCATTTGCTTAGTATGCCTGTTGTCCCAGATGAACGGTCCTTCCTTGTTTATTATCTTTCAACATTTCAAGAGTGGTATTGTTTCTACCGTTGTCATCTTGCTGTTTTTGAGAGATCAGGATAGGCTGAATGGTCATTTTACATACATATGGTTGATAAAGAATTTGTTTTTCATTTACAGTAGCAAATTATTGTGGCATTAGAAGGCCTCATGAGAGAAACTGTTAAATGAGGATACATGCTGAAGAAAACAAAGAATTTTTACTTGTTTAAATTTTTATCTCATGTTTAATCCATTCATAAGGGTCTTTAAAAATCTGTGTAGTGACTATGGGTTGTAATACCCATAAATGTGAATGACTACCTTTGTCACAATTTAAAAAAACAGTGGGCAAAGGAATAGGAGAAGGAGAAAAAGATTAAAAAGATGATCTTGTAAGGCTGAGGATTTTAGCAGACCTTGTTTATCCTTACAGCTTATGCTGTGAAAATAACTCTGCTTCTACTAATTCTTTGTGATACTACCTTTTTTTTAAAAAAAAACTATGTAAGTACCGTAAAGAGTTATATAGTTCAGTCACAATGAAGTGTATTTGGGGAGAGTAATTTATTATGTTTATTATAACAGATAATACAGAAGAATGGAGAAATAAAAGTCCTAGACACACTTATCCCCCAGTTTCTATTCCTAAGATGTAATCTTTTTTAAGTTTCTTTGACCCTTACTGAAATTTTTTATTCATTGTTAAAGTGAGTGTGTTTATATATGGGTAAATTATTAGAAGCAACTTAAACTCCTTGTATATTTGCTTCACAAAACTTCATATATATCCTCTGATTTTTCAGGCCTCTACTTCTGAACACTAATGGAGCCCAAAAGAAGAATTTGTTTCAGCACATAGTAAAAGAACCAGCTGATAATCACCATCATAAAGTAATTTTTCAAATTCTGTTTTCTGTTTATTATCTCAAACTAAATTTTATACAGCTGTATTTCATGCATTTAAAAAAGTTTACTGAATAATATTAACTGCTCATCCTCCAGCTTTTAAAAATCATGCCATTTTTTATTATTTAATTTAGATTATTTTAAGAAATAAACTATTACACATACAGTTGTCTCAGTTGCCTATTTCCAAGTTAGTTTTTCTTTCCCTCTCACTCTCGCCTCTCATCCAGAGATAAATCACTATCTTAAATTAGTATTTATTATTCCCATGACTATTTGATGTGTGAATACATGAACAGTATTTGGTATTACTTTGTATATCTCTGTTGCGAAAGTCTGCTCAGTCGTGTCCGACTCTTGTGACCCAGTGGGCTGTAGCTCTCCAGGATCCTCTGTCCCAGACAAGAATACTGGAGTATGTTGCCATTTCCTTCTCCAGGAGTTCTTCCTGACCCAGGGACCAAACCCGAGTCTCCTGCATTGTAGTTGCAGGCATATTCTTTACCATCTGAGCCACCAAGGAAAGCCTGTATATGTCTAAAATTATTTTGTACATATCCATTTGCAGTGTGGCTTTTTTCACTTGGTCTTTTGCGATTTATGAAACATAGAGATTTAGTTCATCTTAACTACTCTGTGGGATTAATTGAATATTATGATAAGGCAATTATGTACTTGTCCATTGGTTATTTTAAGTTTTTTCTAACTTTTACTATAAATGTACACAGACTAGACTCCTTCAGTATAGCATCTGCAAAAAATATTTTTGTTTACTCCCATTTTTATTACAAGCTCTCTGGATAAATTGTCAAACATACCCAGTGGAAGATTAGTTGAATCCAGACTTACTAATATCTGATTATCATTGTAACTTTAAAGTCTTAGAATTCTGAATACTGTTTTAGATTTATTATTAGGGTGTTGAGATTTTTGTTCTCAGGCAAGTTAGAGTCACCCAAACATCTGGTTCCTCCTCCCAGGGTTTCTAAGTAATCAATGATACCTGTTTTTAGGATTGAAGATTCATGTAAATGGATGAAGATTTCATGATTTAATTTGATTTATATCTTATGCCTCTATATTATCTAGTGTTGAAATTGATAAAATTTGCATTATAATAATTACTTAAGTTTGCTCTGAAGAATTGAATGCTTTTTTATTAATGTACCTATGGTCTGAATATATCTGTAGCTGAATTAAAAAAAAAAAATCATTGCTAAAAAGCCAAACTGACATCTAGCTGTAGGATAGTTGAAGTGTTTTTTTTTTTCCCCTGTTAAAGAAACCATCTCATGAGTCAGAATAAAACATGTCTAAGAAGAGTAGCTGAAGATGAAATAATCCCCACCAGCCCAGTGGCCATCTGGTTATGCTTGAGATGAGTTCTCAAGTCCTAAGCTTTTTAACTCTTTGCATATAAGAAATACTTGAAAATTTGAAGGTCTTTTCTTAGAAACATTATGAGGTATGTCATCTTTACAGTCCCTTACAATGAAATAAATAGTTAAGTAGCATGCAGATAATATACCTTATACCTTTGTGAATTGGTACTTCTAATACCACTTTAGTGTATAAGTCCCATAAGGGCAGAGAAGATATGTTTTGCTTACCGTTGTATCTCAAAGCCCAGTTACCATTTTTAAAATGATAAGTTGTTTGGTAGTCAAAATAATTTGTTTTCTGATATATTTTCTACCTGATTTTTTTAGGTTCCACACAGTAGGACTGAAGGTTTAAAGTCAAGGGAGCGGATTTCAGATGATATCATTATTTATGACGTTACTGATGATAATGCAGATGAAGAAAATATCCCAGTTATTCCAGAAACTAATGAGGATGTTATATCTGATCCTTCCAAGTAAGGAGATTGTGAAATAACATTTATGAAAATAATACTTTTCTTAATAGATCTAAATTTAAAACTACTTTATTCTTTGATAAACTAATATCTCACCATATTTTAATTGTTGAACTGAAAAATTAAGCCAAATTATTCAACCAAATACCTCCCTCCTTCCAGTGAAAAGACTCAGCAAAAAGTAATGAGAATTAACTCTCATTTTTAAGGTTTGGTGTTTAAGACCTTTAATTGATCTTTGTACTCTTAAATTGTATGAAGTATCAATATTTGTCATTAAACTACACACACAAGAAAATGAGACCTTTCGTCAGGTGCTTTGCGGGGAAGTTTCCCTGGAGAGTGACTGGATAGGGTGAATTTATTGAATTAGTCTGAAAATGTAATCAGTTATTTCTCACATTGCTAATCTAGCTGTAGCCAGTACCCTGATATTGTCATTGTTGAAGATGACAATGAAGATGAATATGCACCTGTCATCCAAAGTGGAGATCAGAGTGAACCAGCTGGAGACTCCCTGAGTTCAGGTAGTGATGGCTCCAGCCCTCTCATGTCTAGTGCTGTCCAGCTAAACGGCCCATCTAGCCTGACCACAGAAGACCCCGTGACCATGATGGATTCCATTCTAAATGATAACATCAATCTTCTAGGAAAGTGAGTGCTCATCTGGATGCCATTTAAATTTATTTGCATTCTTTTTTACTTCACATGTTCTTTTTCTCTTTGAATGATTTTACTTTCAGATTATGAACCCACGTAGTCAACCTTTCTATTTTGGTCAGGACTGACCTCTGCAAATGTTATTTTGAGAAAGCTTTGATTATTCCAAGATCAGTCTTGGGATTTTCTTGTCATTTCATTAGATTTATTTAATGAAATACTTGTTTTTGAGTGTCTTAAAAATGTGTGTGTTTTTGTGTATTTGTGTTTTTGTCAGGACTATGGAATAACACAGTCTCTATTAAGGAGCTTATTTATAGTATAAGAAAATGTTAGTAGCAAAGACCGGTAATAAGAGGTGAAACATTTTATAATTTATAATACAGAGGAAAAAGATAAATCAGACTATGTTATTGCAGAATTTTTTCCTTTAAAAACTATAAAGTTTTATATAAAGCCTGTAGGTTCTGAAATAACTGAATTTTTGAATCCTAAGTTCTGAATAGGATCTCTTAAGGTTAAGAATTAGTAAGGATTCAGTAGTTGCTAGGAATATTTTTCCTAGCAAGTTTGCAGTGTGATTATAAACATAAAAGCCAGGAAACCTATATCTGAATTTTTTTTTGGTTTCTTTTTTCCTTAGGGTTGAGCTGTTGGATTATCTTGACAGTATTGATTGCAGTTTAGAGGACTTCCAAGCCATGCTGTCAGGAAGACAGTTTAGCATAGACCCAGATCTCCTGGTTGATGTAGGTACTTTGAATATTCCTTGTTGTACTATCAGTTTGTGTATATGTGACTATTATTTATAAATCAGTGCCTCATTTTCTTGAATTCTACACTGTGTTTGCATTTCATTTATTTTAAATGAAATGGTTTTGTTAGAATGGACAGATGGTTTCAGGACAATGAAGGAGGGTGGTCACTATTTGTCTCTGAGTAGAAGTTCAGCTAATCCCTCTGTAACAACATATCAACTCTTTTCAAAGTACTGTTAAATCCAGGTCTTGTCTGGACTTGTTGCTGTGTTACATTTTGCTCTAGAATAAATTGTCATTGAATAGAAATTAGTAGAAGTTCGTAGAAAAGATCATGGAGACACTTCTCAATATTTGGGAATTAATTTTTCAGTCAAATGTACTATATGTTGTCATATTTGCTGTATTTAAGCATTTTTTATATTTTGAGTCCCAAGATTCCCCTATTCCAGTCCTCACGAGCACCTGTATAAACTTGATTCCAGTGTTGTCTGGACTTTGAATCCTTGTCTATCATTTTTGGCACTAACCACCTTCCTTGCTTTATTTTGTCTTGTTCCTACCACTCCTGTCTCCCCTAGCTAAAGCTTCCCGTGTGGCCTGGTCTTATCCAGAAAAATCTTGTTCTTTCCTCTATTTCCATTTTGTGTTTTGTTTTTTTTTTTTAAACTTTTGTTGTTGTTGTTGTTTGTAAGTTTTTTCCTTAAAATGCGGCTTCTCTCACATCAAAAGATTCTGCACCTCTGAGCCACCTGGAAAGCCTTGTCAGTGTCAGATGACTGTTATTCTTCCTAAATCGTTAGTGCCTCACAGGATGGATTTCACCTTCTTAGAAGATTCCCTTTCCATGTTACTCTCTAGTACATTTAACATCCATACTAATGACCTGCTTCGAGTTGTTAACAATGACTTGACAGCCCTTCTTGATTCTACAGTCTTTGTTCCCAGTCTGAATTTAGAGACCTTTTAGAGAATCCGTCCCTTACATCACATAGAAGGAAATAAAATCCTGTAATTCTTAACTCTGTACAGATCCTCTGTCTTCAACTAGGTCATCTAACTTTGGAACAGTTAACACATTCTTTTGTCCTCACGACCTTATCTAGTCAGTTCTTCCCTATTCACAGAACATAATTCACCATAATTCACCATGCCCTAGTCCTCTCATCAGTTGTACAGTCTCATATACTTTGTTCTTAGAAAGTAAGTACCTGTTTCCTCTTTAAAGCCAGTTTGTACACCTGCCCTCTGCCACTTTTGTTTTTCTGTCTCTAGCCTTGATCTTTCCCAACTGCCTTCAGTAGGTACAGGTAATCTCCATCTTATAAAACATTTTGATGTGTTGCTCTGCTCATATACCATTCTGCTTCTCTAATCCTTATACTCCAAAACTGTAGAAATGAGTGGCTGTGTTTGTTATTTTTTTTATTCCATATTTTCTTTTGAAGTTCTGGATTATCTTGACATATATCTGTCAAGTAAATCTGACTGTAAATATCTGTATTTACTGAAATACTGTGCTGCTTTGGTTTACCTGTTGTAAATAGGCTGCAGCTTTTTTTCACCCTAAATTAGGCCACTGGGCTAGTGGAAGAAGGTTTGTTTTGAATCAGACAGATTTGGCTTCCATTTTTTGCTCATGTTAATTACTAGCTATGTTATTAATCTTGGAAAAATTAACCTCCCTTGCTCAGTTTCCCCATCTATTAAATATGGCTAATGCCTGACATGAAGGGCTTTTGTAAAGATTATATGTAACTGACACTATTATTGTTTAACACTAGTGATTTTCTTCCATAGAACTTTTTATGTTGACTTTAAAGGCGCTGGACCTCTTTGTTCTCTTCCTGTGTCCCTAACCATTCTGTTTCTCTAAGAGCTTTTCTTTTTCTTGCTGTCTTACACCTGTGGATATTCCCCAAAGTCCCCAGTCTTTTATCCTATTTTTTTCTGCCTCTTCCTTTTTATGTCTTGCCTCTCAAGGGATTTTGGCTTGTAGGATTGCTCTCAAAAGTGTATCTCCAGCTCTTAATATTTTTTAAAGTAAACTTCATTTGAATTTTAATGCCATGCCTTTGGGATCATCAGTTACATCTTGCCTTAAATTCTTTGTGTTTAACACCAAACTTTTGTTTAGTCTCTAAAGTAGCTACCTTTTACCTTTATTTTCTGTAGAGGTATCAGACTTCTCTTTACTGACACAGGATAGTAATCATAGTTATCTTGGCTTCTTTTATCTCTGCATTTACCAAGTCCTGTGTATTTTCCAGAATAGCATTCACAAACCGTACCCACTTTCTGTTTCCACTGTTGCCTTTCTCATCTTAAGACCTTCATTGTTTCATTCTTGAATTATGCGGTGTTGTTATAAAAAAAAATTACTCATAAGTTGCATTGTTCTCTGAAATGGAAAAGATAAGTATATGTGTGAATAAGTATGCTGAGAAGTTCATGGGTTCTTGCTAGAGTTCAGTACTAAGTGACACAGTGTGGAATCAGCAGGAGAGACTTGACCTTGGAATTGAACCGTGTCAGTTCCTCGTACATGATCTCCTTTTTCCTACTTGAGACCATGCGTCTGCTAGGAGTACATGAAGGTGTCCCGAGTCGGTGCGTCAGGGGTTGGGGCAAAGGAGGAGAGAGCTGTTTATGCTGCGGGGCCTCCTCAGATGTGTTCTTAGTGGGCACAGAACTGGTCAGGCCTCCAGGGCATACGAGGCTGAACTGGTAGAGGTTGGCAGTGATGTGTATGGTCACCTACCTATAGTTAAGAAACTGAGTTTCTTCTTCTTCCTGGATCAGTAGGTGGCATAGAAGTAGGAAAAGTGAATGAAAGGAAAGGAAGAGCTGAGGATATTTTTAGGCCACAGTGAATGTGGAACTTTAAAGGAGAGGAATGAGTGTCTATAGAGGGTGAAGGAGCCTCTGCATTTCATTCTATGCTGCAAACCATTTGGTGTGCTCGTTCTCTTAAAATGCTTTAGTTAGTATATTTCATTACTCAGGCCATTCCCAAGACTCTTAATGTGGACAGAATGTCCTGTCCATTCATTGGCCTTGCCTTATTTTTTAAAACCTTACGTATACAACTTAACTATTCAGATCAGAACTTCTGTGTCATTTGGACTAGTCATTTCATTTGTAGAACTTACTTCACAACCATTTCTTCTCTGTTGTTGCTAGTGCTCTGACATCTTCTCCTTTCTAGGTCCTAACCATTTTTCAGGAACTGATACATGTCACATAGTTTTATCAGTACTTTTTGTTTCATCCTGTGTGTCTGTTTTCTTTTCTCTTTCTCTTAGCTCCTTAGTACTTTTGAGCCCCACCATCCATTAATTATTATAATACTGGATTGTATCTGATCACATGTTGCTATTTGTTGTTGTTCTTACCTTGTCTTTTAGATTGTAAGCTCCTGGAGAGCAGGTATAGTGTCATCTTGTATTCTTAATGATGTCAATTATTTCTTAGATGCTCAGTAAATCTCTGTGGAATGGATGACTTTGAAGCTTATGACATAAAAAATAAAATTATGTTTGTAGAGTGGCTGGTCTCAGGAGTGCAGTGAGCAGTGGTCTTAGCATCTATGGCTTCCCTTGCTATGTGAGAGAATCAACATGGAGTTATGCCATTTGACCAGAGGACTACCTGAGGTGTGATTTAGGAACCATTCTCATAGAGCAGATTCTGTACAATTATCACATAATTAGCAGGTAGTCAGTCAGTGAAGGATCATTGTAAGGGCAAGGAAATCAGCCCTGCTTACCATTTAAGGCTGAAGGCATTTAGGGAGGAAAATAAATGAAGGAGAGGGAAGGTGGGAAAACCACCATTTGTCTCAAGTGATTTACCCTACTACTACTATAGGGTAGAAATTCTTAAAACATCTAATGCATGGGCTAGCTTGCTCTGCTTTTGTTTTTCTTTCTGCTCTCTTGCTTTTCTCTCCAAACTTGTTTTACTATGTGGAAACTTCCCAGTGCAGGAACTACATCTCTTCACCCTACATAGCTGTATAAAATTTTGAACACACAGTTACATTTTTAAAAATATTTTTTAAACTTATCATCTTTCTTGTTTGGTCTTTCAGCTTTTCACTAGTTCTGTGCAGATGAATCCCACAGATTACATCAATAATACAAAAGTAAGTTTTAATTCATGTTGCTCAGGACCCATAGCTGTAAGAATTTGAAAAAAAAATCCTAGTAAGTAGAGAGCAGTATCACTCCAAATTACAAAAAGCATTTATATTCTTACCTAATACATGTAATCAAGATAATAAAATTCTAAATGAAAAATTAGCTTTTGGTTATGGGGTGAATCATTGCCCAATTCTTCTGTGCCTTGTGCTGTTAAATGTGAATGTGAAATTAGCATTCAACATGCTGGAAGATAAACTGACTAAATTTGGCATACTTAGGTATATCACTGAAAGAAATTATTAAAATATGATTTCTTCATGTTTTAATGTCTTCATTTTACATTCTTATTCCATCTATAAATAACATCTCAGCATTTTTGTTGAAAATTTAAGGGTATTCATATTGAAAATGAGTTCTCTCATTTTACTAGCATATAGTGAAAGCACAGGAATTTGTATTATTTGTAGGGAAGGTGAGTTGAATCAGTGAAGTATGGATTTGGGACTTTTTTTTTTAAGGGGAGTTTTTATTTTCTTAAACATAGTAACTATAGTTGGGATTAGCACGAGTTAACAGATTCTTTAGAACTGGTTTTCAGTGAATGATGAGGATAATATCATGTTATTAGAGTGGGCATTTAGAAATCAGTCTGTTACTTTGTATGGTTTATTGCCTTGAGTAGGTGTATACTTCATTTATCTTGTATTTATACCAAATCATTTCATAATTCCTGTTTTTCATTGAATAAAAAGGAAATCAGTTCCCCTGAAATTTGTACAAATTCTTCAGTAGAATCAAAATTTAATTTTTATTTTTGTTTTAATAAAAAACATATATCAAATAAATACAAGGTATTAGAGTGAGGAGGTGGAATTTTTCTAACTGTTGTCATGTGTGAGGATAGCCTCACCACATTTTCAAAGTTATAGCTTGGGTAACTTAAAAATTGAAGGTACTTATGAATTTTTGAACTACTAGGAAGTTGGTTATATATTCAGTATTTGGATGGTTTATATCAGGGGTTGGCATACTTTTTCTCTGAAGACTAAATATTTTGCAGGAAGCCAGATATTCTCTTTCACAACTACTCAGCTCTGCAAAATCAACCATAGACAATACATAAAAGAATAAGTGTGGCTGTGTTTCTGTAAAACTTTTTAAGAAACAGGTAGAATGCTGAATTTGGCATGTGGACTATAGTTTGCCTAGGTTTATATTACAAGAATCTATGGACCACAATACGATTGTGTTTTAGTAAATACAATATTACTGAACGTTAGACCTTAAGTTGAGTGAACATGGATCATGCATATATCTTTAGTGAATGTGCTGTCCTGTTTGTTTATTGTTAGACATTAAGGCATTCTCTGTTCTTGGATCATCATCTTGTTCCCGAAAGCTTTCAGAAATAACAGTTAAATGGCAGGCTTGCATACTTTCTACAATACTGTTTGTTCAGTTGCTAAGTCATGTATGACTCTTGCAACCCTATGGACTGTAGCCCACCACACTCTTCTGTCAATGCAATTTTCCAGGCAAGAATACTGGAGAGGGTTGTCATTTCCTTCTCCAGGGAATCTTCCTGACCCAGGGATTGAACCATATCTTCTGCATTGGCAGGTGGATTCTTTATCACTGACCCACTTAGGAAGCCCAAATTCTATAGTATTCTAAATAACTATAGAAAAATTAAAATTGAGAGTGACTTTTTATCATGTTTTAGAATTTCAATTAATTTTAAATAATTGGCACATCAGCTCTCATTCCCTTGCTGGTGACAAGTATTGTACGATATGTATTAAAACACCCTTTCCTAATGAATCAGTATGCAGTATTGCAATCTCAATATAGCAATCTATGTGGCCACTAGGAATAAGCAAAAATTTGCCTGGGAGATGAAACACATTTGCTTTCCTGGTTCTCATATTAGAATAACAATAGTGACATCCTTGAAAAATGCCTATTTAGGGCTTCCCAGGTGGTGCTAGTGGTCAAGAACCCACCTCCCAGTGCAGGAGACATAAGAAACCTGGGTTTGATCCCTGGGTCAGGAAGATTCCCTGGAGGAAGAAATGGCAACCCATTCCAGTATTCTTGCCTGGAGAATCCCATTGACAGAGGAACCTGGCGGGCTACAGTCCATAGGGTTGCAAAGAGTCAGACACAACTGAAGCAACTTAGCATAGGAAGTAGAAACATAAAGAAAGTATTACTGCATTAGTGCTTTCATTATTGTGAATGCTAAATGAGAAGAATTTGGGGGGAAGTTTAAGTAGTTTTTATTATGTCATGAAGTCATTATCTGTGAATTTGGAAATTTGTACTGCTTAATTTTATGTTGATATCAGGGAAATTATAGGAATTAGTATATTTGCTATACCATATATAATTTACAAGCATGCAGATATCTGGGACTAAACAGATATTCAGGAAAAATTGTGAACCTCAGCACCTCAGTTTGAACATCATTTAAAAGAGCACTGAAGAACTTAATGTTAAAGATTTAATTCCCTTACAGTCAGGTGTAAGGAGAGAAGATAGTGTCAAAAGAAGTAATTTAAATGACAGAAAAGAACTGAAAGAGCCACAAAAAGGAAATGAAGAAATACCACCTCACATTTGAGGCTTCCAGTTATAGGGATAGTTTTAAGGATGTCATCGTGTCATCCTGAACTACTGTAAATATGTTTACTTATGCTAAATATTCTGTTTGTGAGCGAAAAGAAATGTGTAATACATTTTAAGTCAAAACTGTTTAAAATTGTTTAAAGAATTAGCTCTTCATTAGCAATTTGAAACTAGCCATCTTTGATTCATTACCATCTTCTACTCTTGACAGATTCTGTCTATTCTACTGTTGAAATGCCCTTCCTTTTTTGTACTTACTGGCATCCTAGTTCAGGTTCTTTGTTTCATCCACTTGGTGACAGCAATAGTTTTCTTAGCCAGTTTGATTACATCTACTCAAATCTCTCTCTCTCTCTCTAGTTCACCTCTCCTGATGCTCCCCTTTCCCATGTATTTCAGAGGACATACCAGTATTCATATACTGTGCCAATTTTAAATGTTTTGCTATTTTTCAGGAACATAAAAAATATGAGACAAGGATTTTTATACTATTTTTTCTCTTTTAGTCTGAGAATAAAGGATTAGAAACCAAGAACAATGTAGTTCAGCCAGTTTCAGAAGAGGGAAGAAAACCTAAACCCAAAACAGGTAGGTATAAATGTAGTATTTGTTTTTTAAAATTAAGATTTCTGTGTAGAAACTAATGTGAGTAAAGGAAGGTTTTGCCATGCTTAATTATTGAACATGGATATGTATTAGTCTTGGTTGTATTCATAACATATCAAGGTTCCAGCATATAAAGGAAACTAGTGTGGTGATAGTTCTTAAAAGTTTGTCATTTTCCCCCCTATTTAACTTCAGAAGAACTGAAAGAACCCTCATTTCTTAATATTGAATGCAAGACTACATTTTCTGACTTACATATTTTTAAATTTACTGACACAAAGTATCATGTTTGACTGTATATAAGGGTAATGATTGCACATATGCACATCTACTTCTGTTTTTTCCATTTTCAGCTTGAACTCTGTATAAGCTGGTGGTAAAAGAGCATTTTTCTTATCTTTGTTATAGATAAGCAGCTTATCCAGTACACTGCTTTTCCACTTCTTGCATTCCTCGATGGGAACCCTGCTTCTTCTGTTGAACAGGGGAGTACCACATCGTCAGAAGTTATGTCCTCTGTAGATAAACCCATAGAAGTTGATGAGCTTCTGGACAGCAGCTTGGACCCAGAACCAACCCAAAGTAAGCTTGTTCGCCTGGAGCCATTGACTGAAGCTGAAGCTAGTGAAGCCACACTGTTTTATTTATGTGAACTTGCTCCTGCACCTCTGGATAGTGACATGCCACTTTTAGATAGCTAAATCCCCAAGAAGTGGACTCTGCGTGTATATATTCATCAAAATGATGAACTATTTATTTTAAAGTATCATTTGGTACTTTTTTTTGTAAATTTCTTTGTTTCATTTTATCAGATAACTGTGGAATCAAAAGCACCTTTTGCTTTTCTCACTAACCACACACTCTTGTAAAGCTTTCAGGTGTTACTCAGTTACGTAGGTACATAAAGATTTGATGTGTTAAAACACATTATTGGCATATCTTTAAGTTGGATTCAAATGGCCATTTTTCTCCAGTTATACTAAATTGGATTTCTTTTTTACATATATGTTCATTAACCCCAGTTAAACTTTTCGTTTGTTTGTTTTACTTGTTTGATGCTGTCTTGTTTGCATTGAGTGTAAGTCACTATAACTAATGGTAGAACTCCTAAAGCTTTCTCTGTTCCAGTTGCTTTTACTGAGTATTTTTCACATGGCTTCTTTATAAAACTGGGAACATAAAGTGCCTGTATCTTGTAAAACTTCATTTGTCTCTCTTGGTTCAGAGAAGTTCATTCATGTTCAAAAGGAAGGCAACATATATTTAGAGTGCTTGCTGTCTGATACAGTTTCAGCTGCATATATTATAGAAAGAAGGGGATGGGATGGTGTCAACCCATCCAGCTCATGGGACTAGTTTTAAGTAAAAGTTTTCTGGTTTGTTTTGTGTTTTTTTGAAGCTTACTATTTAGTAAAATAAATATAATGAATGTTGCGTACTAGTGTCTGTTACGTGTCTTCTTTGGAGTGACATCCACATGTGACAGTCTTTCCTTTTCATATGAAGTAGGTAGATGTAAACTGTGAACTTTGTCTGTTGTCCATTATTCTAAACATGAATCATACCAAGCTCTTTGTGCCTCATCTCAGAGGATAGGTTGTATTGCAACAAGGAGGAAAATATAATAACTCCAAATTTAATGTGTTTTAAGTTCTTTGTTTAAAAATTATACTGGCTTACTTTCTATGTTTCTAATAAAGAATTTAGAAAAGTATGCTTCCAGTTGTCCAAATTAGGTACGAACATTATCACTGGATGCAAAGTGCCTTTAATTTTCACCTTGAGAGAAGATAAGAGAAATAGTTAAATCACTTTTTTCCCTTTGAAACATTTGCTCAGAAGGATTAGACTTAATGCAAGGCCAGAGAACTATCACCTGAAGAATTCTACCTTCGAGCAGAGAACTGGAAGCAGTGAGCTAGTATCTGAATGTTTTTTTAAATAGGGCTGTTTGATGAGAAATTACAGAGATGGCTTTCCTTATTGGCTATAGACTCTTAGTATCTTGGAATTTCTCTTACTATGATATAAAAATTCAAATAAAGCCTAGCACAGAGGGGTAAGAAACCTTTCCTTAGCAGATCCTAAAACAACTTGTCTCTGACAGTGGGATCTTGGTGGACAAATTCAAGAACTCAAAACAGTGTTCTGCATAAAAGTGCAGAGTTAAGAGAGGAGAGATAACTTCAGAGACTTTTTCTTTTTCCCTTCCTTTCATCACGGGGATATGATTAAGTTTCTTCTCCTTTAAGGATAACTCTAGAAGTATTTTAAAAATAGTTTTGAAAACCTTATATCTCCTAGTACTTTTTAAGGTGACATTTAAACTTTATCTTAAGTAGCCAGGAGGAATTTAGGATACTGTTAATGCTGCCATTTTAAAAAGTTATGTGCTTTTAAATGTATATCTAAAAGTATCTAAATACCATAGACACTTGGTGCTCATCATTATCCATTCCACTTCCTCCAAAAAATTTTATACTACTTTTATTATGCATGATAGTCATACATTGACGGTAACTGTTGCACTACTCTCCAACTAAATTTGAAAGTACTTTCTGTAACCTTAAAATTACAAGCATTATTTTTCTCCAATTATAAATACACAGTTGATCAAAACAGTATAAAGGTATGTGGCAGAGAGTATTAACTGATTGCTGAACCATCTCCTATCATGCAGTTACATTATCTCCATCTTTGTAAACAGGGTAGCTATGTAACTGAATTATAATAAATCAGGAAAAGCAGTGTTCAGAACTTACAGGTCTGATCTGTGGAAATTTCCCCCGTGCAACCCTCCTCACGTTTTACTCATCTGCTAGCTTGATGCAGAGGAGTGTGTGGCTTCTGAGCATACACACGAGGAGGAGGGAATGTGGCTTCTGGATCAGCACTGAGAGAGCCAGCCGTCAGTCCTGGGTGTTCCTTTAGACTTCGGGTGAGGGGGAGCAAACCTTTATTGTGTTCTGCCTCTGAATTCTGGGGGGTTGATCTGTTAAGAGATTTCACTGTTCACTAATATAGTTTAAATTTTGAACTGTTAACATAAAAACTAAAATTTTATCAGAAATACATCTTTTTGTGGGGTGAACAGATCTCAGGGATTTTTTTCCCCAAATGTTTTATTATCTGGGGATAAGTTTATAATATCAATATAGTAAGAGCATCCATTTGTTTTTATCAAGTCCTCAGAAACTTTTATTACAAAAAAAGAGATGAAAATAGAAGGAATTTTGTTAGCAATGTCACCAAATATGAAGTCCTTCAGATTTCACTCAAGTATTTAAAAAATTTTATTAGCTGGCAGTTTAATTAGATCATCCTGATTATTTCAGTGAAAGAAATGCTAATCACCTGAATTGCAAAGGATTTTCTAAACAAGTGTCATTCTCTTACCAGTATGTAAAATTGTCTCTGCTTGGGTGTTTAGCAAGTTTATCTGAAGTGCCTTGGTATTATTAAGATTCAGGATGAATTAAGAGGAGTAATTGATTTGTTTCAAGTGTGAAAAGAGTAATTGTTAAAAGGGATGATACCTTGTCCTGCGACATCTTTTCAAGCACATCACTTTAGGAAAATGTACACATGGAAATTGAAGACCTGGAAACTGCTTCCTTTAAAAATAACATAAACTTGTGTTTACTGCAAAAAGTCTCTGTGTGTTTTGTGGAAAACAGCACAGTATGATTTAGAGGTATGTACCCCTCATCTTCATACCACCTCCAAGTTTCTTTTGCCTCAGTTGGGATACAAGTAAGCCCATAGGAGAGCTAGTGACTTAGAGATAAATGTTCTTGTAGGGTGTTTCACTATGTGCTTCCAGCTCCCCTGATAGCTCAGCTGGTAAAGAATCCCCCTGCAGTGCTGGGTTCAATCCCTGGTTTGGGAAGATGCCCTGGAGAAGGGAACGGCTAGCCACTCCAGTATTCTGGCCTGGAGAATTCCATGGACTGTATAGTCCATGGGGTCACAAAGAGTCAAACACGACTGAGTGACTTTCACTATGTGCCTCATGGGGTTGGTATACTCAGTTCAGAAGCTGAAGTGTGAGAACACAAGGTCCACAGGCTGGGAAGATGACCAGATGACACTTATGATAAACATACATAAAATGCTACATTTGAGAATTAGCACCTACATGAAATAACAAGTGTAGGTAAAACTAGTTTTGAGAATCAACTACAGATTAGGTCATAAAGTAAATTTCAAGAAATTGGTTTCAGAGAAACTACAATACACATAAGCTAGACCTTGACAGTTTGAAGCAGTACTGGCTTGATACTTTGTAGTGTCCCTCAATTTGGGGTCACTTTTTGTTTCTTCCCATAATTAGATGGGATTATGAGTCTTGGGGAAGATCATGTTAAGTGCCATTTTCAGTATATGATAGGTGCATGCTATCAACCTGATTTTTCATTGATACTGACTTAGTAGACTAAGCCCCAAACTTCTGGAATATCTACCACACAGTCTCAAAACCACCCCAAGCAGCCCAATTTTGGACTTGTCAGCCTCTGTAATTGGTGAGCCAATTCCACATAAATGCATATGTATTATAAATACACACACATTTTCCATATATACAAGCTAGATTTAGAAAAGTCAGAGGAACCAGAGATGAAATTGGCCAACATCCACTGGATCACAGAAAAAGCAAGAGAATTCCAGAAAAACATCTGCTTCATTGACTCTGCTAAAGCCTTTGGCTGTGTGAATCACAACTGGAAAATTCTTAGAAGATGGGAATACCAGATCAATTTACCTGCCTCCTGAGAAACCTGTATGCAGGTCAAAAAGCAACAGTTAGAACTGGACATGGAACAAGACTGGTTCAAAATTGGAAATAGGAACATCAAGGCTGTATATTGCCACCCTGATTATTTAACTTATATGCAGAGTACATCATGAGAAACGCTGGGCTGGATGAAACACAAACTGGAATCAAAGATTGCTGGGAGAAATATCAATAACATCCGATATGCAGGTGACACCACCCTTATGGCAGAAAGCGAAGAGGCACTAAAGTGCCTCTTGATGAAGGTAAAAGAGAATGAAGCTGGCTTAAAACTCAACATTCAAAAAACAATCATGGCATCTGGTCCCATCACTTACTTCATGGCAAACAGATGGGGAAACAACAGAAACAGTGACAGACTTTATTTTCTTGGGCTCCAAAATCACTGCTGATAGCGACTGCAGCCAAGAAATTAAGGTGCTCCTTGGAAGAGAAGTAATGACAAACCTAGACAGTGTATTAAAAAGCAGAGACATCACTTTGCTGATAAATGCCCACATGTCAAAAAGCTATGGTTTTTTCAGTAGTCTTGTATGGATGTGAGAGTTGGACCATAAAGAAGGCTGAGCCCTGAAGAATTGTGGTGCTGGAGAAGACTCTCGAGAGTCCCTTGGACTGCAAGATCGAACCCGTCAATCCTAAAGGAAATCAACCCTGAATATTCATTGGAAAAGACCCTGATGCTGAGGAAGACTGAGGGTAGGAGAAGGGGATGACAGAGGATAAGATGGTTGGATGGCATCACTGATTCAACGGATGAGAGTTTGAACAAGTTCCGGGAGATGGGGAAGGACAGGGAAGCCTGGCATGCTATATAATCCATGGGATTGCAGAGTTAGACATGACTGAGCAACTGAACAATTATTACTGTCACAGGACAGAACTGAAAAGGGTATAACACTGGCCAAATAGTGCCGTCTATTTAAGTCTTTTTTTTTTTTAAAATATTAAGCTGCATGAGCTGTATTACTAGGAAAGTAATCTCATTGGTAGCATCATTTGCAAGTGTCTTTTCCCATTTTGTAGTTGTCTTTTGCTTATGGTTTCCTTTGCTGTGCAAGAACATTAGGTCACAACTGTTTTTGTTATTTACATTATTCTAGGAAACTGATCTTTCCGCAGAACCACTTATTGAAGAGACTGTCTCTTCTCCCATGTGTATTCTTGCCTCCCTTGTACTAGACTGCCCCTCAGGAGCATTTGGGTTTACTTCTGGCGTTTCTAACCTGTTCCATGGATGTGTTTTTATGTCAGTACTGTACGGCTTTGATTACCATAGCTTTGTAGTAGTCTGAAATCAGGGAGCATGATTACCTCCAGCTTCATTTTTCTTTCTCAAGGCCATTTTGGCTATTTGGAGTCTGTTGTGTTTCCATACAAATTAAAAAATATTTTGTTCCAGTTCTGTGAAAAATGTCATTGATAATTTCACAGAGATTGCGCTGAAATCTGTTGACTGCCATGAGTAGTATAATAATTTTAACAATATTGATTTTATCTGTCTTAAAACATGGTATATCTTTACATCTATTTGTGTCTTCATTTCTTTCATCAGTGTCTTAAGGTTTCAGAGTACAGGTCTTTTGCCTCCTTAGGTAGTAGATTTAGTCCTAGGTGTTTTATTCTTTCTGATATGAAGGTAAGTGGGGCTATTTCTTTAATTTCTCTTTCTGATACTTTGCTGCTATGGGATAGAGCATTTTTTTTTTTTAATAAGGGATTTTCTTTTTAAAGTGTCAGAAAAAAGTAGCATCAATTGGCATCTCAGGAAAAAAGGCCTGGAGGACACCGAAGTCTAGAGCAGCTATCAAATGAATTAAAATTATTCTCCAAACTTAACTGGTCTAGTTCTTTAGGAGAATAACACTTAAATTACCTTTGAGATTCACTTCAGGGGTTACTTAGAACCAAAAGGGTAAATACCACCTTAAAAACAATTCAGTTTTTTCAAAACAGAAAATGGTCACTAATGTCTCCCTCCAATGTCAGTTTTTTAAAAAATATACACAGGAAGAAAGTAGTTCAGAGTATTACACCACCTAAATTGGCTAAAATTATATCCTTTAGAATTTAAAAGAATATACCACACATTTTCTCTGAATTCATTTATTTAAAGATAAAACAGCCATTTGAGATCATGGAATACAATACCAACACAATAAAAGGTGAGGAATTGTTATATTTCGCTTACATTGATTTCTTAAAAGAAGCAAATGTAGATTTTAAGATTTAAGACACTAATGACACAACTAAGAGTTTCTATCGAAGTTAACAGTGATACTGCTTGATTTTCAAGTTGAAAGATTTTTAATAACCTATATATTTCAATTAGATGACGGCAAATAGAAAAGCATCTTTTGAGCTGAATAGTATACTGTTAAGCAGGAGTTTATTTTACAGCAGTCATCATTCTCCTGGCCTCAGTTTGTGTGTAGAAGGCATACTAGATACCAGCAATTCACATCACATAAATGATCTACCACTCACAATGGTGCAAAATCTATTAGACATGTATTTGAACAGAAATTATTGTTGAATGCCAGAAAAAATGCCATTTGTGTTTGACAGATGTGGGGTTTCCCAGTTTTGCCACTGATCAGCTATCTGAGCTTCAGTTTCTTCACTGTTAAACTTCTGACAGAAGAGGAAGAAACTGCAAAACAGGCTTTAGTAGCCTTCAGTTTATCAGCTCTGATTTTCAAAACAAACTTTCAAAGTGATTTTCAACCTCCTTCTAACCTATGATTATTCTTCTCAAAATCTTTGTCCAAATCCTTCAGAGTCCCTAACTTCTCCACTGAACACATTTTAACACATCTGCATGTGTTTATAATGACCAAAACAAAGTTCACTATGTTAGTATGAAAGACTACCCCTACTCAGGGAACATTACAACCTACCTGGGTATTCAATTTAGTACCCACCACCAGCAAATCTCTGAAAGTTCTGTGTCTCCATCTCCTCCATAACCTACACTGTTGTCAATCAAATACTCCATACCTGTATATGTTCCTTCATATCAAGGGAAAATCTGAAAAGTCTTTAGAAAACTGACATTTGTGACTTGTTTATACAATTTTAGGACAGCCACGTTCTTTGCAGTATCCTGTAGGACAAGGCATCAAATATTTCAAAAGGCAGCCATACATTATTCATATTTTTCTAAAACAGCTTATGTTCTAACACAATTTAAAACTCAAACTGCCAAGCAATTTTGTTTTTACTCTTTTCACAGGTACAGAGCAGAGAATAAACCTAACAATGTCCACTTCTCCTAACTTACCACCACCAACATACTCATACAACTCTTGATTCATTCTAAAACGCATATTGATGCGCCTGGCAAGACTATAATGAATAAAATGGCAAGCGGTAAATCTAATTCATGCCAGAAGACTGGAGAAGTTACATGGGAAGCACACACATACACAACTTCACAAAAGTTGGGAATACTGTTGATTTCAAATAAATGATGATCAAAGTGAGACTTTGATGCCTCAAGTCCCATTCAGTCAAAGTCACGATTTGTAAGAACAAGGGGTGCCACCAGTGTCCACACATACAGCACAATGCCGATCCAACTAGAGGAGATTTTCACCCAGACAGCTGTCCACTGGCTTTTCATCTCACGAGAAGGCTCATACCTAATAGTTCAAGGAAAACAAAAAGCAGAGAGAAGTTGGATTACTAGTCATCAAGCCACCAGGTTTCCTTATTTTAGAAGTATTCTTTGTATATAATCTGTGATAACAGATATACAGTTGTTGGACTATCTCTGTTGTCTTGTTTTCCATACCACTTTGACAGCTAATATGAAGGTTAAAAAAAAAAAATCTTTAAAGGAGCAGATGACATAGGCCTCTGAAGTAGTTCCTTTACATAATACTCAGAGAATCTTTATGTATCTCTGACTCACTAATTAATGAGATAGCAGAGAAATGGAGTGTGACCTCTGGATAAATGAAACATCATTTAACAAAGACTTATCAATTCTAAACCGTACAAAGAATATAATTTGTTCAAAGTATATACAGGAGCTCCCTCCACCTTCTCAGATTTAAGAAACTGGGAAGGAAAGACATCCCAAATTTAGCTTGTTTTTATCTTGATGAAACATACCAAAATACTTTTCATCTTTAATATTTACTATTATTACATGACAGCCAAAGCTGAGAATTATTTGGAATAGTTCTTGTACCTTAATATGCTGCAGTGTAGAATTTTTAAGTATACATATATATATTTTCAATAATAAATGCCAGTAGAGGCTGCTCTCAAACAAATGAATAATCTTTTTTTTTTTAACATCTTTTGCTGGTATTCAAAGTTTTCTTACAAATTGTTAAGGATATTATGCATTAAAGAGTATTAAAAATAGAACTACCCTAACTATACAGTTCAACTTGAATCTTAAATCTTTTAGCAATCCTTTGAACTAAATCAGAATTTTTAAAGACAAAATATAAACCACTACCTTCCTCTTAACAAAAAAAGATTTATCAGTTTTGAAGTGATATAAAAGCAAAAATTAGTTTTAAAGAATTCTAAGAATCCATCTATGTTAATGTATTCACACTTCAATTTTGAAATCCTCAAAGCTTTTAACGACAAAGTCTGAACAAAACAGGTAAAAAAGAAACAAAAAAAGGTATCTTTTTCTACACTATATTGGGAACTAGTCAGTATTAGAAATCATTGTGTTTGATCCCTGTCAACATGTACTTCCCTAAGCAATGTGGTAGTTTCATGAACTTTATTTCAATCTCTTTTAAGACCTGTAACTATTTCAATCTCTTTTAAGACTGGAACTATTTCAATGATTGTTAATGCTAAAGCAAGGAAATAAAGTCTGCATTTCTCATACTGATCTCACCATTTAGTTGTAAATTTTGAAATATATTGGAGGATAAAAAGTACTCAATACCCCGTTTTTACAATGGAATTACAAAAAAGCCACTCAAATTTCCACATGCGAAGTTTTCATAAAATAGAAGTACCTGTACCAGTTGGTTAGGGTCATCATGATATAAAGTGAAGCCAGGAAAAGCATGAAGTGAAAGAAGGAGTAACTGTAAGTGACACCATCCCTTTCATTATCTACGGCTCGGTGAACATCATCACCATCCTCAAGTGATCCATCATTTCTGGCTCCACTATCTTCTATTAGTGTTGATTCATCACTTGTTAGAGTCAGTTTATTAACCTGACTATTGTTTGAAGTACGGATGCTACATGAATGACAGTTTAGAAAGAGAGAAAGAAAAAAAAGGAATTTAAACACAACATTCATATATGAATAATAGCTGGACTTCTCTTCAAAAAAATAAAATCCAAAATTTTTCCTACCTTGAATAAAATACACACAGTAAAAAGAGGATTAGTCCAATAATTCCTTGAGTATGCCACCACTGTACAGACTGCCCCTCCTTTGGGATAGTGCTTGTTGTGTTATATCCAATTATGTTCAGTAGACTTGGGTTACATTCTGTTTCTATAATGTAAATTAAGGTCAAATTAAAATGTTAGAAAAGTACAAAAAATTTTTCAGAGCACAATTGTAGTTCTTTTTAACTCTATACACTTGCAAACTCAAAAAATTGTGAGAAAAGGGCACAAACAAAATAAGGCAACTTGTATTTATTAATAATGAGACCTTTTACATTATATAATGCTAGCTTTATCCAACTGGTTGGAAAGCAATTTCATTTTCAGCCTCATGCAGTTGAGACATTTAAGCTTTCTACTGATCAGGAAATTGGTGAAATTTAGTAAATTTTTTACTTTATAGTAAAGCTCAAGCAGAGTTAAGAATAAAATTCAGGTATCCTAAACTAAGATGCACTGCCTTTCCTGTTATATACTATGAAATAACAATAGTGATTTATGAAGTTTATCAACTTGTCAAACTACATTGTTATATAAGCAAGATAGTTTACACACAAAATCAGTTACTAGAATTTTAGCAAATAGTTTGTGGAAATGAGTACATAAATCATAGTGACCTAATACTTATTCAGCCTCTTGACTCTTATAAGAGAGAATTAAAATGGGGTTGGTATTCACTTAATGTCCCAAATATGTTTTTTTACCTCCCACAAGGCCAGATATGTCAATTGCCACCTTATCACTGAAAAATGATTTTTACTTTGAAGCCACTTGTATAAGGATAATCCCTAAATCAAATTACTAATAATTATTTTCTAGACACTTACTGGACAAAAATAAGCAATCTTTCTCTAGTATACTAAAAAAACTCTTTTTCTCCAACTAGTGATAAAGCACCTATGAAATTTATAAATGGAATGAAATTTAAGAGTCAGGAAACTTTTTTCTGTCAAAAATTCTGTAATTTTTTTTATTCTGAGGAAAAGAGACCATTTTTTCCCTTTTCAAAAAACAGTCCAGTTGACCCTTGAACAAGCAGATTTAGCAGTACCAACCCACAACACAACTGAAAATTTGCATGTTACTTTATGGCTGGCCTCTATACTCCAACCTTTCATATTAGCAATTTTGCATCCATGGATTCAACCAAATGCAGACTGTACCGCAGTACATCTATTTTCCAATTTGTTTCACCCCAAATAATATATATGGGCTTATACTTCTATGAAATGCAATAAAACTGGCCTATAAAAAGATTAAAAAGACCAACTATATTCACCTGTAAGGTAATCACAGGCAAAAAGAACTTAAAAAAAATCTATACTATTTAAAATAGAATCAACAAACATTTTAATAGTTTTTAATTTTACATATACTATCACATGCACTGTACAAATCAGGTATATTTCTTATAATTTTCCTATAATTTATAGTTTTGTTAGTGAAGAAAGAAGCTTAAATGAAAAAATATAGTAGTACATCAAAGATGAAAATGGTATTATATGAGAATGGAAATATTTCCATTCTCTTCATTCCTCTATGAGCTTAATTTTACAAAACAACCATCTCTGAAAAAAAGAAAAGCTTGCAGGATTCATTAAAAGAAACAAATCAGGCAAACAAAACATACCCGGTTCATTGGTCATAGCAGACCACGTCAAATACATTGTGTAGACTGTAATCACTGAAGACTGTAACAAACCAGATCTTGGTTGTGATTCCTACAAGAAATTAATTAAGCAAAACAGAGAAATAGTGTGATCATCCAAGATTTAGGAAACCTTAGAAAAAAACAGAAGCTACATAAAAATGAATGAACTAATCCAAGCTTACTTGGATTTTTGGCAGTATAGACATTATAGAAGCACCAAGGCAGAGGAGCATGTTGACACTGATGAATGCTTTATTTTCTGCACAACTGGCTGGATGAGTATAGTAAACAAAAAACAGGACGATAGCAACTAAAGACAGCAGATAATTCAGGGCTGTAGCTGATAACAAAGCTGTGAAAGAAATACATTTGACAATTAGATTTTATCACTAATATTAGGAACGTGGCATGTGGCATATGGCTTGCTTTAAAAACAATCTTATTTTTATTCAAAAATATTATTTTAAGCAACATTTTATCAGCATTACACAGGTTATAAAAGCAGGTAAAGATGTAATTCTAGCCTGTACCACATTAAGACTTTTGTAGCCTTTACACATGCATACGTGCGTGCTCAGTCATGTCTAACTCTGCAATCCCACGGACTATAGCCCATCAGGCTCCTCTGTCCATGGAATTTTCCAGGCAAGAATACTGGAATGGGTTGCCATTTCCTACTCCAGCCTTTACACATAGCTCACTATTCTGATGCATTTTAAGAGTAATAAAATAATACAATCCTAATTTAAAGTAATATTTACATACAGAGTGTCCAAAACACATTCAGATACATTAGCCATTATTTTCAAAATACAGAAAATTAACTAGGAGGAGAATATTACCTAGTTTTTAAGTTATATCATTCAGTTGTAAACGGGCATTAAGAAAATTATTTTGTTAATGCTAAGCCCACAGAACAGTGCTTTGCCTTGTCAACTAAAATCTTGAAAGAAAAAAAACTATTCAAGTTGTCATTATTTAATAAGATAACCTAAGTTTCTTCTATCTCACACACACACTTTTAATTTTCATGTTAATGTATGCTTAATATGTATGTATTTACGTAGATGTGAATAACAAATGCTCTATCAGACAAATATGTATTGAATACCTACAAAGGCCCTGGGGACACAGTAGGCAACAAAGCAGAAACTCTTGTATTAGATTTAACATTAAAAAATGAAACATTCTGTGTAAGTAAATTTTCTAAATGATTAAAGCTTATTTTTTTGAATATCAAATTCTTTAACCACTGAGATCAAATATTACAAACTAGTTGTATGAAAGAAACCATGAATATAGCAGATATGCTGATTTAGTTTTCACTGACTTAAAATATACGTATTTTTAGCTGAAGCTGACTATTTCACATAAAAATCCAGATTTATGGCTTCTTTTAAAAAACTTCAGAAAAATTAAGCAACACTGGGTTCACACTTCCACAAGGCAATTACTGGACAGAACTAAGGAATATAATGGCCTTCACACTCTCTAATTCACCACAGTCCCTTTTATTTGCAAGAGGATTGAAAATGCACTTAAACTGTTTCTCCTCCCGCATTTGTGTCACCTGTTGTTAAGCACCCTAATTTTGATTCCTGTTTTAGAGTACAACCAAAGGACTCAAGCTCATCATTATAAACACACATTAAATACACTACTATAATAATTCCCTAAGGTGTCACACATAAAGGCATTCTTTGCACTTACAGAAAATGCTTCGGAGTGGTTTCTGTTTCCTGCTTGCTGATGTTTCAGAATTGTACCATTGTTTATCTACTTCTAGTAGTCCTCATCCCTTTAATATTTTACTTTTTAAGCTTTTACTTAGAAACGTCCCAGGAAATTAGGCTATAAAATATACATATAGTCAGCAATATGCTTTGCTATTTTAGCCATTCCCAGTCTTTTGGATGATTGTCTCATTCTTGGGTATGTTCCTAGTTGACATGCAACATATAATGTGACAGGATGCCACTCACAAACTTAAACTAAAAAACCTCCTCACAGTAAATTGTACCATAAAAATCATGATTTCCCCATAGTCTACTACCTGCTTTCACTTTCAAAGTTCAACTACCTTGAAGATGTTCTGTAAGACAAAAAACCTACCTGCATACCAACATCTTGAGTTCCCCTCTTCCATTTTTTCAACCCATGATTCATTCCACGAATGGGCAAAATCAATGAGCAAGACTAGCTGTATGAGAATGAAGCAAAAGGCACCTGCCATGCCTACATAAAACCATACTGAAAGGAGAAAAAATTTTAAAAAAATCACAAATGAGTAACTGCTTCACTTTTTATTGTTTCCACAATCAATACACCAAAAGAAAAACAAAATTTTACATAGATGTCTTAAAGGAAAACACAAAACAGTTACAGTTCCAGGCAACAATTATTTTCAATTTCCTTATAAAATATCAACATCACACAAAGAAAAAAAGATTTCTTACCAGTTGTAAAAGTTCCTTCTGGAATGAAGAAGGCCCCAATAATAATTGCAATTGCTGCAGCAAATTTAAAGAACCAGAATCTACAACAAATTATTTTTTATTAGTAAATATTCATTCAACAAATGGTTTCATATATGAAATCTTTTGAGAGCTGCTCTTAAAAAACAGCTACACTTTATTGTGACTACTCTATTCCTTCTGAGGATATCCTGAAAATGAGAAGACCATCACATGTCAATTCTTTTGTTGTGGTGCTGTTATTTGGTCACTCAGTGTCCAACTCTTTTTACAACCCCATGGACTGCAGCCTACCAGACACCTCTGTTCATGGGATTTTCCAGGCAAGAATATGCAATGGGTTGCCATTTCCTTCCCCAGGGGATCCTCCTGATCCAGGGATTAAACCACATCGACACTGGCAGGCAGATTCTTCACCACTGAGCCACCAGGGAGGCATGGCTATTTTAATTGATTCTAATAAATGAGAATATTAGATTCATTTCACAGGCTTACTTAAATGAGCGAGATAATATATGGAAGTGTAAATAAGTTACACTGTACAAAGGAATAGTTTTTGAAAACACAAAAGTCTGGAAAACAGATTTCCAGTAGCAAACCAGATGAATTGAAACAACCAGAGAAGACATAATATCTTAAGAATTCTAACACAGAAAGAGCAAGAACTGCAAAGCAGGTGTCCAGAATCCAAAAAAACCCAGAAGTAACAGATTAATAACTCCATCTGAAGACAACTAGCAAAGATCTGAGGTGTCTGCTACTTCATAAGTGAAAGCAATGCAAAATATAAGGAATATGAACATTTCACCTCCGGAAGATAACAATAATCCTGCAATCACTGATCATAAAGGCATAAAAATCTTGCAATCTAGAAAATAAAGAATTCAAGATAGCTGTTCTGAGGAAACTCAATGAGCTATAATACAAAAATAATTCAATGAAAACAAGCAAAAAACAATAAATTTAACCAAGAAATAGAAATGACAGAACCAAATATATTCTGAAGCTTAAGAATTCAAAAAAAGAAATAAAAAAAAAAAATGCAACAGAGATCTTTAGGAGTGAAAGTTGCTCGGCTGCATCCCACTCTTTGTGACCCCATGGACTGTATAGTCCGTGGAATTCTCTGGGCCAGAATACTAGAGTGGGTAGCCTTTCCCTTCTCCAGGAGATCCTTCCCAACCCAGGGATCAAACCCAGGTCTCCCACATTGCAGGTGGATCCTTTACCAGCTGAGCCACAAGGGAAGTCCAGAGATCTCCAGAAGGGTAGATCAAATGGAAGACAGAAAAGTGAACAGGCATTTTGATATAACCCAATCAGGGATGAACTGAGGAAAAAAATGAGAAAAAAAAAAAAAGGGAAGAAAGCCTCAGTAATATATGTAATTTAAATATTAGAATGATCAGGGTTTCAGAAGAAGAGAAGGAGACAGAAAGTTAACTTAAAGAAATAATATCTGAGAACTTCCTAAACCTGGACATGAACATCAAAGTTCACAAAGCTAGTAAGATCACAGTATCATCTCAGTGCAAAAAGACCTTTAGGATAAAACTGTCAAAAATCAAAGAATACAAGAGAATCCTAAGAGCAGCCAGAGAGGTCCAAAAAAAGAGATTCTGATCTACAAAGTAATTTCCATTAGGCTCTCAGTGGATTTCTTAGAAAATCTATAGGCCAAGAGAGAGCAAGAGTGACTCTGAGTAAGTGTTGAAAGGAAAAAACCACCAGCCAAGATTACTCTGTCCAGCAAAGATATCCTTCAGATATGAAGGAGAAATAAGGCTTTTCCCTAAGTCCGAAGAATTCACCACCACTAAACCTGTCTTGTAAAAAATGGTAAAAGGAATTCTTCAGATTGAAATGAAAAGACACTAATTAATGACACAAAAGCCTACAACACACTGGTAAAAGTAAATACACAGATTCATAAACGTCTAATTCTTTAACAGGCTAGTGTGTTAAGTAAACAGTAAAAAGATTTTAAAAAGTATTAAATAATGAGTATTATAAAAAGGTAAATTGTGACATCAAAAAAAATAAAAGAGGAGGAATAAATATGTAGGGTTATTTTATGCATTTAAAGCTGCTATCAGCTTAAAATTAACTTTTATCTATAACATGTTTTACATAAGCCTCATGGTAACCACAAAGCAAAAAAAGTAGAGTAGGTAAGACAGAGAAGCAGAATATACCACTAGTTTACAACGAAAATCACCAATTTACAGAGGTGTTAACAGAGAAAAAAGAAATGATGAAAATATGACCAACCAGACAACAATGACTAACATGGCATTAACAAGTCCCTACAAATCAGTAATTATGCTAATGAGTGAATTTGTTAACCAAAAGGCAGTGGCCGGATGAATTAAAAAAACTGAAAAAGACAAACAGAATCTCATTTGTGGAACTGAATCGTTAAAATGTCCATACTACTAAAAGCCACCTTTCGATTCAAAGTACTCCCTATAAAAATTTCAATGTCATTTACAAAAACTCAGGAAAACACAATCCTAAAGTTTGTATGTAACTACAAAAGACCCCAAATAGGCAAGTCAGTCATGAGAAGGAAGAACAAAACTGGAAATTTCAAACTATACTACAAAGCTCTACTAATTAAAACAGTAATACCATAAAAATAGACACATAGATCAGTGGAACAGAAGAGTAATAAACCCTTGCATTTTGGATCAACTAATATTTGACAACAGAGTTAAGAATATTCAGAAGGAAAGGACAGTCTCTTCACCAGTCTTGGGAAAGCCATTAATAACCACATACAGAAAAACGAAATCAGACTCCTTTCTCACACCGGTCACAGAATCGACTCAAACTGAATGGAAGACTTAAACACACTGAACACACTATTGACTGGAGATGTGTTAACAAGTCTTCTGTTATCCGAATGTTACTGACTGGAGACGAATCATATGCTCTTAGAGAGCCATAAAGTTAACATCACAGTGTTTAGTTGTTAGAGCTTAAAACTGATAAGGGCTCATTACAGAACTTCTGATTGTCTTCATTCACGTTTCCCTGTTAGGCTTCTGCTCCAATTTTGTGTATGTTATAAATACACACTTATGACCATAAAATTTTCAAAAATGATGCATCACGAAATTTTGAGCAGATACCTTCTCTGACTGTTCAAGCAACATAACTACTAGTATCTCAGAAGATGACAGTTCTTCAGAATATAGTTCTAACTCAGACAATATGAACATTAGATCAACAAAAAGACAAAATAAACCTCAGTGATTGATTCTGACAGGGAAAGTGAAAATGAAATGCATGGTGCTTTTTTACATGTGTGTCAGGTGTAACTATTGAATGTAATAATCTGCAAAGTGTTAATTAAATAACAGAATTAATTTCAGGTTAACAAAAATAAAAATCGCCAGGCACAGGCCTATGTTTCCAGCAAAAATCCCCTAGTCAGTGAGTTAAGACCTAATACCATAAAAGTTACTAGGAAGATACTGATACTGGGAAGAAGAAAATAAGGAAGAAACTCCCTGACATTAGTCTGGGCAATGAGTTTTTTGGGGAGACAACAAAAGTACAAACAACAAAGGTAAAATCAAACGGGAATACTTCAGACAAAAAAACCTTCCACAGAAAAAAAGGAACAATGAACAAAATGAAGAGACAAACTATAGGAGAAAGTATCTGCAAACCATGTATCAAAATGTGGTTAATATCAAACATATATAAAGAACCCATACAACTCAATAACTTAGAAAAAAACAATTTAAAAATGGACAAAACTAAGTATTTTTCCAAAGAAGGCATACAAATGGCAAGCACGCATATGAAAAGGTGCTAAACATCACTAATCATCAGAGAAATGTAAATCAAAACCATACGATGGCCACTAAGATGGTAAGAAATAACAAATGTTGGTGGCAATGTGATGAAATAGGAATGCTTAAGCACTGCTAATGGGCATGTACACTAATTCAGCCACTATGGAAAACAGTTATGAAGGTTCCTCAAAAAATACAAAACTGGAACTACCATACAATCTGGCAATCCTGCTTCTAGGTATATATTCAAAGAAAGTGAAAACAGGGTACTGAAAAGGTATCTGCACATCCAGGTTTATGGCAGAATTATTCATAACTGGCAAGATACAGAAATAACCTAAGTGTGTAGAACAGATGAATAAGGAGACTGTAGTATATATACACAATGGAATACTATTCAGCCACGAGAAAGGAGGAAATCCTATCATTTGCAACAACATGGATGGAACTTCAGGGAATTATGCTAAATGAGATAATCCAAATTAAAAAAAAAAAAACCTATATTACCAAAATGTGGAATCTGAAAAAGAAAAATGTACTTTAAAGTTGCTAAGAGAATAGATCTTAATTGTTCTCATCTCAACTAAGTAATAATTATGTGATGTGACAGAGGTATTAGCTAATATATGATGGTAATCATATTGTAATATATAATACATATGAAATTAACATTTTGTACACTTTAAACCTAACAGAACATCATCAATTATATTGCAAAAAAAAGCCATTAGCAATGATGTTAAGTGTTTAGTACATACTTGGAGAAGAATGTTATCACAGGAAATGATTGTGATAGCCATCCTGTAGTGTATTTTGAGAATTGTTTAAAAATACATTTAATAAAGATGTTTTAACAGTGCAAAAAAATTAAAATTAAAAATCAAAACAACCTATGACTAAGAGAATTAAAAAAAAAAAAATCAACCTAGCACAAAACATCATTTATCATTAATATTTCATTCTTCCTGTCTTTGACAGTGTATGTTAATAGATAAGCAATATCAGATACTTAAAACTATTTTTATTTATGGGGTGGAACAGTGATAAAATTCAAAACATTCAAAACTGTCAGATGCATTGCTCTGTATTAAAGGAGCTGACAAAAAGGTACCCTGAAGTGTCTAGGTTGTCCATTATAACCATTTAGAAAATCAACCACCTTGTTTCAAAGCAATAAAGTTTTTCATTTTGGCTGCACTGTACATATAAAGAACTGAGTTCAGTTTTATGTAGTGAGACTGGCCTGCTGCTAAGTCACTTCAGTTGCGTCCGACTCTGTGCAACCCCATACAGGGCAGCCCACCAGGCTCCCCCGTCCCTGGGATTCTCTAGGCAAGAACACTGGAGTGGGTTGCCATTTCCTTCTCCAATGCATGAAAGTGAAAAGTGAAAGTGAAGTCGCTCACGTCATGTCTGACTCTTAGCGACCCCATAGACTGCAGCCCACCAGGCTCCTCCGCCCATGGGATTTTCCAGACAAGAGTACTGGAGTGGGTGCCATTGCCTTCTCCCGAGATTGGCCTACAGAAGGCTAAAAGGAGGAAGAATAAACTCATTATTAGTCACAGATGTGATAAATCTTTTTAGGATGAAAACATAGTTGAACCTTGAACAATGCCAGGGCTAGGGACTCCAACTCTCTGCATGGTTGAAAATCCACCTCTAACTTACGTCAGCCCTCTGTATCTGAGGTTCCTCATTTGTGAATTCAGTCAATCAGAGATCATGGAGTGTGTAATACCGTAGTTACTGACTGTTGGAAAATAATCTCTAAGTGGACCTGCACAGTTTAAACCTGTATTGTTCACAAGGGTAAACTTTACTAAATATTATGCACGCAATAAGTGACCCAAGTCTACTATTTAATATTTGTATTTCCAGATTCTGACACATTCTCTGGTACAGACAAGAGGATTTTTTTACTTTGTCATTCATGAACAAAATAATTCTGCAGATTGTTCAAGTCTATTTTAAACTTTCTTTAGACAGACTCAAAATTCCTGAGAAGAGACAACCCAGACTTTAACCTGAAGTTATTAAAATACTTACCCATTGTGTACTGCAGCTCGAGGGTCACTGCTGCTCTTCACTTTGATCATTAAGAGAGAGAGAAGAAGATAGAACATAGCCAAGCCAAAGCACAAACGGTATACAGCTTTATAGCCAACCAGAATATCACAAGGGACCATTCCTTTCTCATTCTCACAAAATCCAGGAATCTGAAAAAATAAGGATTTCTAATCTAGAATTTTTTCAAGGAAAAAATGACAATTCTGTGTAATTAAATAGCTTAAGGTTCAGAAAATTGAAGTTCGCTTTACAGTTTATGCTGAAATGTAATCAAGGTAAGTCTACACACTTTCATAAACAGAGGTTTAACTCTTTTTTCACTTATGTGCACACAGAATAAACTACAAATGTCAATCCTAAAGTGAATGCTTATTTTAACTTGCAGACTTATTCAAACTTATTGTAAGTTTTTTTAAAACTTACATTCCACTGTGATATGCTGAATCACATGTATAAAAGAAAATCACATCAATAAAAGTTTAAAGAATTACAGAGTAATTGAATCAGTTTCTAAATACTAAAGAGAACAATGATGGCTTTTCAAAGCCAATGCTATTTAAAATCATTCTGAGATCTGGTCCCTGATTCTACAAATACTTTGATAATGGATAGATCTGAAAGTAAAGTGAAAGTGAAAGTCGCTGAGTTGTGTCCAACTCTTTGTGACCCCACGGACTGTCCATGGAATTCTCTAGGCCAGAATACTGGAATGGGTAGACTTTCCCTTCTCCAGGGGATCTTCCCAACCCAGGGATAGAACCCACGTCTCCCACATTGCAGACGGATTCTTTACCAGCTGAGCAACAGGGAAGCCCAAGAATACTGGAGTGGGTAGCCTATCCCTTCTCCAGTGAAGCTTCCCAACCCAGGGTCGGGAATTGAACCAGGGTCTCCTGCACTGCAGGTGGATTCTTTACCAACTGAGCTATCAGGGATAGAACTGGATTAACAGCAGTTAATTTTATTTTTCTAACTTAAAATCTTGAAAAAGACTGAAGACCATTTCAGAAAATCACATTGAAAACAGTACAAGGAAGTATTTTTAAAATATTTTTAAGTGAAATAAATGAGTGAAACAAGCTAACAGTATCAACTAAAACCATTCACAAGAAGTCAACTGGTTCCATGACAAAACCATATGAATGTCTTTTGCTTATACCCAGGACTTAAGTAAAATTAATTGAGCGTCTATTTATGGCATTTACAATGCTACGTTCACAACTGTGATAAGCTCATTTCCCAAACTTACATGATTTTTCCTTACCCCAAAGTCAATCACAAGCAGATAATCATGGTTTAAAATGCAAGTTATCTAATATAAATACTTTCTCAATCTCAAATTTTCTATTGTCATTCATCTTTCCTTGGAGGAAAACTTTTATATGCTGTCTCTTGATCAAATTCTCTCTCATCTCTTACGTGTTAGATCCCTTGAGACTTCTCAGAAAGCAAATGATTAAATCTCAACTCAGCCTCCCTCTAAGACTTGCCATGTTCATCACAAAGATCCTCAAATTAGTAGTTTATACTCATTGGATTTGTTTCCTCACAGCCACCTAACTTTCCCTCCCAGTCCTCCTAGGTCCAGCACTCTTTAAACTACAGCTTTTTTTTTTTTTTTTTTAAGACACTAGACGTATACTGGTTGGCAAATCCAATGACTACTACTTAATCCTCACACTCCTTTACACCCTATTTACACAGACATTATCCTGTCATTCTTAAAACTCTGTTCCTAAGATCTACAAACATGTTTTTGGTTCTCTTTTTTCACTGTTCCTTTAGAGGTTCCCTTTCTCCACCAACCCCCTTCTGTCAAAGTTCTAGCTCTGCCCACTCCAAATGGTTCTCCTCTTCAGCATATGCTGCCACAGTTTGAATTTCATCTCTATCCTTGATTTGCATGACACACTCGTATTTTCTACTTCCTGTTGGACACATACAGAGATACAAATGTAGTGAAGTACTCCCAAGCCAACATACTATGAACTAGATTATGTTCTCCCCATCTCCTTTCACAACCTGACTCCCTGATGGGTGGGTGGGGGTGGGGGGGGGGCAGGCGTAAGTTTAATAAAATACCTTTTCTTTCTTTTTCTTAGTTAACAGCAACATTTTCCTCTGTTATCTAGGATCAGAACCTCCTTACTATTATTCCATCACGGCTATATTTAAACTCAGACCCAGTCAATTCTGTATTCAGGGAATCTATTTCAGGCTCTCTTTGCCCTTCTTGGTTATATCATTTTAATAGCCTCTACACTTAACAGCTTGCCTTCTTTCCTAATTATTGGATAAATCTTCCTAAGGCATAAATACTTGGCTCAAAAAGCTTTTATCCTCATTCTGCTTCCTGTTTTTCAATTTCTGTATAGAAAAATTTATTGATTCTTAGAATGCCCCTTTTTCCATGAAACCCACAGTGATTCTGACATTTCCCCAGCTGGAAATTACTTATTTCCTCTTATTATCACAGCACACTTTCTGCACCACCATCACAATTTCATAAACTGCTTTTACTGTTTGTCTTTCCTAAATAATTATGAGCTACTAAAACTGGGATTAAGTATTGTTTTCCTTTTTACAGTATTGTTTCCAACACACGGGAAGCAATTTTATGCATAAACATACTAAAGGTTCAGGCTTCCCAGGTGGCGCTAGTGGTAAAGAATCTGCCTGCCAATGCAGGAGACCTAAGAGAGGCAGGTCAGCAAGATCCCCTGGAGGAGGGCATGGCTACCCACTCCAGTATTCTTGCCTAGAGAATCCCACGGGCAGAAGATCCTGACAGATTACCATCCATAGGGTCACAAAGAGTCAGACACAACTGAAGTGACTTCGTAGGCACACATACTAAAGGTTCAGTTAATCATTAAAAAAAAAAAACGTACCTTATTCAGCTGTTCTTCCATTCCAGGTATCAGCATTACACAAGCTACACAAACTCCAACAAGCAAAAAAAGCGCATAGATCAACCTAGTTACAGTGGAGTTATTTCCACTAGGACAGCATCGGCACAGCAGACACGGGGCGCTGCCACACAGACATGGGATCTGGGAAAAGAACGTTAAAAATCAGTAGAGTTTAAAATGATGCAGTGAAAATTTATATTCTATCTACTCAAAAAAAGGATGAAGTTAAATTAATTAACAAGTGATTTGGTTCACATGTTATGTAGAAACTATAAAACTTGGTAACTTCTGGGTAAAAATGAAGCAAAACAAAGCAAAAAAAAAAAAGTCTGCCCTTTATATCAAGCAAAATGAGTAAATTCAGTTAAAAAGAAAAAAAGAAAATAGCAACAAGACTCAAAGTTTAGCTGAGAAAAGAAATGGAATATTCGTAATTACAAGCAGATCTCCAACTTCTACCTTTTAACCCCAGAAATCAGGCTGAAACCACAAAAGTCTGAGGTTTCTCAGATACTCCAGAGAAGGAAAAGAAGTAAATTGGTATTCTCATCTTTTCCCTCTTCTGACTTGGTGGTGGTGATAACCACCAAGTAAAAGTTCCTATAAGAATTAGGAAAAATAGGATTTAAGTGAACAAGTGGGGTGAGCTGGCATTCTCCAACAGAATTCCACACTAAACTAGTAGTAGATCCCAGGGGAAAAGGCTATCTCCCTGAGGCAAATACCAGTAATGGAATTTAACAATATCTCAGAAAGGCAAAGTGAAAGTATTCTTGTAACAACTGACCTTAATCTAGGCTGAGCTCCACCATACTACCAGATAGCACAGGAAGGGAGTATTGTACAAGTCAGACAGACTACAGTAACCAATATAAGGTAGCATCAGAAATACTTATGCTAAACTTCGATATGGTAAAAATAAATGTCATGGCAACAACACACTTTAGCAAAAAATAAACAAACATACCCCAACCAAAACAAACAAACAAAAAAGGCATTTGAAAAATCCAATCTGAAATAAAATGTAACTCAGTAAGAAAAGGAAACTCCCTAAAATTGGTTCTCCTGAAGCAAAAAGGAGAGTTCAAAAAGAAAAGAACAGAACAGAACAAGTTGAAAAGGAGGACTGCAGGGCTGAGGAGAAATGAGAAGGGGAAAAGTCTGCTTAAAAAACTAATTATCATAGAACAAAACAAAAATGCTGAATATAAAAATACTGATAGATAAATTTTGGATAAGTACCATAAACTCAGGCCAAGACACAGTAACAGTGACCAGACTTACCCTACTGCCTCTATCCATGGGGAAAAATAAAATGAAACAATGTTTTTCAGACAATTAACAAGAGGCAATTTACCATACTTAATTTCTGAGAGAGAGGAAACAATGTGAAGTCTATGGCTGCCCAATTTTTCTGCCTGGGAAGTTTCCAGTGTAGGCCAGCAGTCTACTGAACTGAGGAGACACAGCTGGGACAGAGTTGCGAGTTTAGGGAAGTGAAGGCAGGTAAGAGTTCACAGGACATAAAAAAATAAAGGAGAAAGCTATACTGAGATTGAGCTCTGGAGACCTGCAGAGGCATCAGTTTCTGTCTTCAGCAGAGCACTAATCAGCAGAAGTATTTGATTAAATTCCTCCAGGGGGCAGGGCGGGGTGGTATTTACAATCCATGAGGCCCTGAGTAGAATTGTAAGACTTTTACTACACAGCATGGGGGGCGGGGGGGGGGGGGGGGGTTGCGGCGGGCCCAAACTGCCATAAGGCTAAAAAAGCCACTCCAATCTCAACAAAGCCTAAAAGCAAACTTTGAAAAGATTCTCTTCAAATAACTCACCTATGTCTAAGAATAGCAAGGATTTAAAAAAAAAAAATATCTGGCTCCCATCAAGGTAAAATTTACAGTATCTAACAGCTAGTAAGAAATTGGTAGGCATGCCAGTATGGAAAATACAGCTTGTAATGAGGAGCAAAATCAACAAATAAAAACCAGCCTGAAAATTACACAGATAACTGAATTTAATTATAAAAATGGCATTCCAAAATCACTGAGGATGGTGACTGCAGCCACAAAATTAAAGGACGCTTGCTCCTTGGAAAAAAAGCTATGACAAATGTAGACAGCATATTAAAAAGCTAAGACATCACTTTGCCAACAAAGGTCCATATGGTCAAAGCTATGGCTTTTCCAGTAGTCATGTATGGATGTGAGAGTTGGACCATAAAAAAGATTAAGAGTCAAAGAACTGATGCTTCAGAATTATGGTGCTGGTGAAGACTCTAGAGAGTCCCTTGGTTTGTAAGGAGATCAAGCAGTCAGTCTTAAAGGAAATCAACCCTGAACATTCACTGAAAGGAATGTTGATGAAGCTGAAGCTCCAATATTCTGGCCATGTGATATGAAGAGCTGACGCATTGGAAAAGACTGATTCTAGGAAAGATGGAGGGCAGGAGGTGGGGGGGGGCAACAGAGGATGAGATGGTTGGATGGGATCTCTGATTCAATGAACATGAATCTGGGCAAACTCAGAGACAGTGAAGGACAGGGAAGCCTGGTGTGCTGTAGTCCATGGGGTTGCAAAGAGCTGAACACGACTTAGTGACTATGTTATTTTAACTATACTTCATTTGCTCAAGTAGAGGAGAACACAGCATGTCAAGGAGAGACATGGAAGGTTATGTCCATATCAAACTTCTGAAAATGAAAAGTATCTGAACCAAAAAATACACTATAGAAAAGGCAAATGAACTTGAAGACATAGCGAAAGAAACAATCCAAAATGAAAAAGAGATAAAAAGACTAGAACAAAAACAACAGAGAATCAGTGTTGTGAGACAACTTCAAACAGCCTAATACATGTCAAACTGGGGCTTCTGAAAAATAGAGACAGGAGAGTCCTTTTGAGGAAGTAATTGCCAAAATGTTCCTAATGAAAACTATAAACTCACAGATCCAAGAAACTCAACAAAAATGTAATGAAACCTACACATCAAGTTACATGATAAACTGTTTAGGACTTCCTTCCTGGCTCAGTGGTAAAGAATTCACCTGCCAATTCAGGAGACACAGGTTTGATCCCTGGGCAGGGAAGATCCCAGGTGCCATGGAGCAACTAAGCCCACACACAACCACAACTACTAAGCCTGCGCTGTAAAGCCTGGAAACTGCCACTGCTGAGCCGGTGTGCTGCAGCTACTGAAGCCCGCGCATCCCGGAGCCCTGTTCGCTACAGGAGAAGCCACCACAATGAGAAGCTTGTGCGCTGCAACGAAGAGTAGCCCCCGCTCACCCCAACTAGAGAAAAGCCTGTGCCGCAACAAAGACCCAGCACAGCCAAACATAAATGAAATTAAAAGAAAAAAATGGTTTAAAAAACAAATTGCTTAAAAACAATGATAAACAGAAAAATCTTAAAAGCAGGCAGAAATGAAGGCACATTATATAAAGAAGAAAGATATCAGACTTCTAGTAAGAAATATTGCAATGCAAAAATCAGTACTGAATGAAGGAAACTGTAAGTACAGAAGTTCATATTCAGCAAAAATGTTTTTAGGCATAGGAAAAAAAGCAAAACTAACAAATCTAAACTATCAGAAATGTGAAAGTTACACCAGAAATGTGGATCTACATAAAAGAAATGAACAAAAAGAAATGGTTAACTGTTTATTTTTTTTACATATAAAAGGTTACTTAAAAAAGATTATTATCTTTTTAAAGCAAAATAGCAATGTATTCTGGGTGGTTATAACAAAGATGGCAGTAAAATATGTAACAGTTACAAACAGGCTATAAAAGGAGACATTCAACTATACTACTGTATACTTAAATTAGAAACAGAACGGATACGACACAAAAGCAGTGTGATAAGTTAAATACTATAAACCCTACTGACGTCTAAAAATGCAAAACAAAGGAATACAGCTAGTAAGGCAAAAAATACAAAAAAACACTGGGATATCACTAATTAATCCAAAATAAGGCAAAAACTAGGGAAAAGAGACCATGTTGATTTAAGCCCAAACGTAATCCGTACTCACATTAAGTATAAAGAGACTAAACACTGCCTAATAAAAAGCATATTGTTAGATTAAAGAGTTAAGATCCAACTCTATCTTTTCTACAAGAAACCCACTTAAACATAAAGACAGAACTGGTTGAAAATTAAATACACACACACACACACACACACACACGTGTGGGTATATATACATGTGTCTGTGTCTGTGTGTATACATAAACACACATACCAGTATCAGACAAATTAGATTTCAGAGCAAAGCACTCCACCGGGAACAAGGAGGGCCCTCTCACTGTAAGACACACGGAGGCACAGGGCATTCATTAAGGACACACGCAACGCACACCCCGAGCTATTTCTGCATGCAAAAAAGAACTTCAGAATGCATCAAAGAAAAATCACCAAAACCGAAAAGAGCGACAGCAAGTCCACATCTATGTTCTTTTATTAACTGAAGCAGAAAAAAAACTCAATATACATGTAGAAAAGCTTAAATAACATCATTAATTGTTTCTAACATTCAGGGACTATTCCATCTAACCAAAGCAGAATAAAAGTTATTTTCAAAAAATAAGAGAACACCTAACCAAAACAGAGCATACTCTGGGCCATAAAACAAATCTCAGTAAATATAACATGCATGTTTTTGTGGCCCACAATGGAAGTAAATACTGATCAGTAACAGAAGGATTTATTTCTCCAGAAACTAAATATCTAACTCACAAGCAGAAGAGTTCAAAAAAGAAACAGAATGAAAATAAGGTATCACATTTTTGGAATGTACCAAAAGCAATGTTTAAAAGAAACCTACACTTTTAAGTGGCTATGTTAGATAAAAATAAATAAATCAATGACCAGAGCTTTCATCTTAAGTTACTAAATGAGCAAATTATAGCCAAAATAGGCAGAAAAAAGAAATGATAAAGATAAATACATGAGGTAAAAAACAGGAAAGAAGAAAGTCAGTGAAGCTAGTTTTAGAAGACCATTATAATTTAGAAACCTATAGTCAGACTGAGCAGGATAAACAAAACAGCAAGAAAGTGAACACGCAAATCATCAAAACCAGAAATGTGAGAGAAGACATTATTATTGAGTCTGTGAGCATCAAAGGATTATAAGAGA